TACCATATTTTACCACATGGTATGGCATGGTAAAAATAAATTACAACACTATACCATATGGTATGGCATGGTAAAATCAAATTACCACACTATACCATATGGTATGGCATGGTAAAATCAATTATCACACAGAACCCTCACATTTAACTTCCAAATTACCACATTTTACCACATGGTAATTCACTGTAAAATCAATTACCACACATGTCACTTCCAAAATATCATATTTTACCATGTGGTATGGCAAATGTAAACTCAATTATCACACAGAACTTCCAAACTACCACACTATACCACATGGTATAGCATGGTAAAATCAATTATAAAACAGAACTTTCACATTCAACTTCCAAAATAGCACATTTTACCACCTGGTTTGACATGATAAAATCAAATTAACACATTATACCACATGGTATGACATTGTAAAATTAATCCAACAAACCAAAAACCAATCCAAAAGAACAAAATAGCTTCAACAACTCAACCAACCATTCATTCAAATAATCCTCTTAAGAAAACTATTACAGCTTCAGCCTTAAACTTTCTTCAACAGCCTTCAAATTCTCCTCCTCAAGCCTGCTAGTTTTTCTCTTCTTCTTACTTACAGCCCTTGCAGCCTCCGCAACTGGAATTGGTCGTTTCGAAGGCTTGAATGAATCTTTTTTAGGCTTAAACCCCTTCACTTTTTGGACCGGTACATCATCTATACCAAGATAACAAAAACAAACTACAATCAATGACAGATATATGTAAAATCATTCTCCTCAAAAAAATGCATATATCAAAACACAAAACTCTAAACAATTAAAAACTTACTGTCACCGTTAGAAGACGTGCTTGTTCCAGCAGGTTCAGTAATCGATAGGGCTTCACACTTTTTGATCAAATCAGTCATGAAGGCCATGGCTGATTTATACAAATCATCATCCAATGCAACCCTGCTGATCATTGATGCAGAAACAGCTGACAGATTGAAAAGACGAGAACGGTATTTCGATGGACTATCAGTAGACGGAACTTCAAAAGAAAAGTTCCCTCCAGTTTTCGCTGCCCTTGTCCACCGCTTCAAAATCAAACTGCTAGGAATGTGCTGGAACTTCAGATTGCATGTTGTAGACCACAACATATCATATCCCTTAATTTGATGCTTACAGATCATACCACTTGACTCCCACTTACGGCACGAACACTTGATTTCACCGGTTTCAAAATCAACCTTCAACACCCTACTATCCAACCTTGTAAGGTCATCCTCCAATATGAAGACATCAAACAGTCCTACACCTTCTGGTTCTATCTCCGTATTGGAAAAAATATTATACGCAAGAGATTCCTTGTACTGATCCAGGAAAAACTTGAATATCTTCGGCGTATACACATTGGCAACTTGCTTCACAATAGGGCTAGTAGAAAACTGAGAATCAGCCAACCTAGATAAGGCGTAGTACTCTTCTTGTTCTTCAGCATCCCTCTTATTATCAAGCATCCTCTCAAAGTGCACAAAGAACCTACTAACGCTAAACTCTGACTGTAAGTAATGTCGAATATTACTATTGCAGCACTCACTTAGCTGGGTACTCTTCATTCCCGCACCAAAATGACAATTCACCCAGGCTGAAGACCACTTCGTCCTGACTTTGTAAATGCCCTGTAACCAACTGTGTCCCAAAGGTCCCTTCCCAGGAAAACACTTCTCAATCATCTTCTTCCAATTATACTCAAAATCATCCTCATCATCAGCATTATACATCAAATAACTAAGCTCACGAAGGAAGTCAGAGTCACACAAACTTCCCAGATTAACAACTGCATTCTGAGCAATATGTCATGTACACAACCCATGAAAACAATCTGGGAAAACAGACCTTATACCAGCAGCAATTGCAGCAGCCTGGTCAGTAAACATTGATAACGGTCTCACACCTCCCATGCATTTCAAAAACTGATCGAAAAGCCATTCAAATGTTGCCGTTGTTTCATCATATAGAAGAGCAGCCGCAAAGACAGTCAGTTGGTGATGATTGTTGAAACCAACAAACAAAGCTACAAAAACATAACAAAAATGTGAGTAAAAACAATTCTACCAACACATACCATGTGGTAAAAGGTACGAATAACAATAATACCAACCCATACCATATGCTAAAGACTCATACCATGTGGTAAAGACTTCTAAGAACAAAAAAAACCTTGTTACCAACCCATACCATATGGTAAAAGACTTTTAAGAACAAAATAACCTTGTTACCAACCCATACCATATGGTAAAAGACTTTTAAGAACAAAAACACAATGCATACCAGCCCATACCATATAGTACAAACTTCTAACAACCCAAAAACCACCTCAAATAACCTTGTTACCAACACATACCATATGGTAAAATACTTTTAAGAACAAAAAAGCAATCCATACCAACCCATACCATATGGTACAGACTTGTAAGAACAAAAAAAAAAACATGATACATAATGATAATAATAATAATAATCATACAAACTAACAAAGACAATAATAAACAACAAACTAGAAAACATACCTAGTGGCCGATACTCTTTGTTAGTCCGGTAAGTAGTATCAAAACTAATTGAATCACCAAAATAATGATAATCCATCCTCATCTTCCCATCTGCCCAAAAAATACTAGCAATGTTCTCTTCAACATCAACCTCCACCTCATGAAAGAACCCAGGATCCAGCTGTGCTTGACGTCTAAAGTATTCAAGCAATGCAGTCGCATCACCATACTCCATTGATAACGTCCTAACCGTTCGCAGATGATTCTTCATATCATTCTTTGTGAACCCAACAAACTTCCGACCACCACCAGCCCTACTAATTGCATTATACGAAGAAGTCACACCAATACCAGCAGCATCATTCACCTCTGCCAACATCTTATACACAGGAGCCATTCGTCTGCTGGATCTCACATAGTGACGCAGAGACTCAGGAATCATGTCATGGTTGTGCACATTACACCAACGATGGATCTTGTAGCATTTAAACTCTTTAAACCACCTCAGTCGTATATAAGCACCATTACATCCACCCCTGAGTTCTGGAACATTACGAACACGAACTGTCGTATCAACAACACCTGCATTATCAGGGTTATTCTCGCTACCTTTTTTCCAACCTTCCTTATTGCAACAATACTTGATATAATATACAGCTGAAGAACCACCATTGAGCTTCGGACACGCTGATTGGTTATAAATCCTCACACCAAAACCTTCATGATTCCCATAATCAACATAAAAATTATATGCATCATCTGGTGTATTGAACTCTAAGTCCTTCCAAGAATCACGAACAGTAGGATCTATACCATTGAAACCTACAAACATTATGAAACAACATATTAAATGGATTCCACACCACAACAGTATGAAATCTCAATGTATACCAATAATTACAGCCATGATACAAGAGTTACCACCATGGTATGGCATGGTAAAATCAAATTACCACACTATACCATATGGTATGGCATGGTAAAATCAAATTACCACACTATACCATATGCTATGGCATGGTAAAATCAATTATCACACAGAACCCTCACATTTAACTTCCTAATTACCACATTTTACCACATGGTAATGTACTGTAAAATCAATTATCACATGATAAGGCATGGTAAAATCAAATTACCACACTATACCATATGGTATGGCATGGTAAAATCAATTATCACACAGGATCCTCACATTTAACTTCCTAATTACCACATTTTACCACATGGTATTGTACTGTAAAATCAATTACCACATGATAAGGCATGGTAAAATCAAATTACCACACTATACCATATGGTATGGCATGGTAAAATCAATTATCACACAGGATCCTCACATTTAACTTCCCAATTACCACATTTTACCACATGGTAATGTACTGTAAAATCAATTACCACATGATAAGGCATGGTAAAATCAAATTACCACACCTTACCATATGGTATGGCATGGTAAAATCAATTATCACACAGAACCATCACATTTAACTTCCTAATTACCACATTTTACCACATGGTAATGTACTGTAAAATCCATTACCACATGATAAGGCATGGTAAAATCAAATTACGACACTATACAAACTTCAATAAACAAACAAATTTGTATATCTTACCTCCTGATTCACCAGAGTTAGCTGAATGATCAAATCCAAGATCGATAGATGAAGAAGCAATTCCAACAGCACTAGATGAAGAACCAGATCCTACAACGCTGGTTGAAGAACCAGATCTATCAATTGGAACAACATCGCCACAATTTACGTAACTCATCTCACCAGAATACTACAAAAACACCAAAACACAAAGAACATAACACATGAACAAGCTCGATTAGCTAAACATAAACAAGCTCGACTAGCTGCAATGAAAAACCTCCAACGAAACCAGAGATCAACAGAAAACTCGATTAGCTAAACAGGAAGAATAAAAAAAACTAATATCTAACCTCGTCGTCGATCAATTATGGAGAATCACAAAAGATTCGCCGTCCCCTGTTTCGCAGCAGCTGCTCGCAGTTTCTCTCTACAAAAACCGAATCCAACTCGCGCACACGTCGATCGATTATGGAGAATCAGAAAGCTCGATTCGAAACTGCTGTTCGCAGTTTCTATCGTCATCGATCAACCATGGAGAATCGCCGTCCTTGTTTCTCAGCTGCTGCTCCCCTGCTCGCAATTTCTCTCTCCAAAATCCGAATCCAACTCGCGCACACGTCGATCAATTATGGAGACCGAGAATCAGAAAGTTCGATTCGAAGCTGCTGCTCGCAGTTTCTATCGCCGTCGATCAACCATGGAGAATCGCCGTCCTTGTTTCTCAGCTGCTGCTCCCCTGCTCGTAGTTGAGACTCTCCAAAATCCGAATCCAACTCGCGCACAGAAAGATTCGCAACGGACAAAAGGGGAAACTCATTAATTCAAATAACGGACAAAAATGCCCCTGACCATCCCGCTTCAATGACAGCCACACGATCCGTCCGCCCCAGATCAACGATTCCTAGGTGGTTACTCACGGGTGAGTAACATCACCCTATCCTAAGCCGGAGACACCAATCCAAAACCGGAATTTCTAATCTTCTGTCTCCTCCAAGTCGCCGTCGCCGTTCGCCCTTGTTCTCATCTGCTCGTCCGTCGACAACACCAGTCACAGGCGTCTCTACTGCTCACCAGGCGCCGCCGCCGCCTCTACTGCTGCTCGTCAGTTGCCACCCGCCGTCCCCTGGTGACCAAATTTGCTGATCCCAATGGAAGCCTTGCTGTCTTTAGACCCTCCAAGATGAACAAATCTCGAGCGGCCACTATCGTCGCTGCATCCCCAGGTCTGCCCTCTTTCTTTTCTTCTTCTTCTTCTATCAGCTCCTCCTCCTTGTGCGGCATCTCCAATCGGCTGCTTTCCATTTTTTCTACCTCCACCGCCGCCGCTCCTTTTCCTCCTCCTGCGACGGACCCGGTCGATCTTCCTTCTCAGCTTCTCGCAATCATTTCTCTTCCCAACTGGCAGAAACACCATTCCATCCAAAAACTAATATCCGCCATCTCTCCTTCTCACGTATCCTCTCTTCTCCATAACAACCCTGGCCTTCCCCCTCATGTCGCTCTCAATTTCTTCAATTTCGTGGCTCGGAAACCTGGGTTCAGGCACGATGTTCGGTCGCATTCATTGCTCTTGAATATTTTGATTCGGAATAAGCTTTTCGGTGTTGCGGAGAAAGTTAGGATTGCCATGATCAAAGGTTGCAGTTCGGTTGATGAGGCGCCCTCGGTTTTGGATTGTTTGCGAGATATGAACAAAGGGGAAACGGAGATGGAGTTTAAGCTCACTGTTAGGACTTACAATGAGCTGCTTATGATGTTATCGAGGTTCCTAATGATTGATGAGATGAAGAAAGTTTACAGTGAGATGATCGGTGACTTTGTTTCGCCGAATATATACACATTCAATACTATGATTAACGTGTATTGTAAGGTTGGGAATGTGGTTGAGGCGGATTTGTATGTGAGTAAAATTTTGCAGGCTGGTATGCAGCCAGATACCTTTACTTTCACTTCATTGATACTGGGGCACTGCAGGAATAATGATGTGAATGATGCATTTAGAATTTTTAACGAGATGCAGAAGAAAGGTTGTAGAAGAAATGCAGTTTCTTACACGGTTCTCATACATGGACTCTGTGAAGCCGGAAGAGTTGATGAAGGCATTCGTTTATATAAGAAGATGGGAGAAGATAATTGTCTCCCTACTGTTCGAACTTATACGGTAATAATTGATGCATTACTTGCAAACGATAGGCAGTTAGAAGCAATGGAAGTGTTAAGCAAAATGAGGGAGGCAGGGTGTGAGCCGAATGTTCATACTTACACTGTGTTGATTGATGCCTTGTGTAAAGAAAAGAAGATGGAGCAGAGTAGACAAATGTTAGATGAGATCATAGACAAAGGGTTGATTCCCAGTGCAGCTACCTACAACTCTTTGATTGGTGGGTACTGCAAGGAGGGGATGATGGACGTTGCTCTTGAAATCTTTGATATGATGATTTCTAACAACTGTAAGCCAAATCAACGCACTTACAATGAGTTGATCTATGGATTCTGCGAGGCAAAATGTGTGCACAAGGCAATGACATTGCTAGATAGAATGCTTGCTTCGAAGCTGACCCCTACCATTATTACTTTTAATTTGTTGATTCGTGGCCAGTGTAAAGTAGGTAATCTAGATAGTGCCTACAAGTTGCTTGATTTGATGAGTGATAATAGGGTTATTCCAGATATATGGACTTACTGTGTTTTTGTGGATGTACTTTGTAAAAAGAAGAGGGTAGAGGAAGCTCTTGCTTTGTTTCACAGCCTGAAGGAGAAAGGTGTACAGCCAAATGAAGTGATCTACACTGCATTGATTGATGGACTTTGTAAAGCTGAAAGGGTAGATGATGCTTGTTCTTTGCTGGACAAAATGCACAGTGAACATTGCCAGCCTAATTCATCCACGTACAATGCCTTGATACATGGGTTGTACAGTGAGAGAAAAAAGAAAGAAGCTTTGCAGTTGGTGGAAAATATGGGAAAAGTGGGTTTAAATCCCACTGTTCATACTTACACGATCATAATCAAAGAGATGCTGAAAGAAGGCGATTTTGGCAACGCTTATAGGATTTTAAATCACATGGTAGCCTTAGGATGCAAACCTGATGCATATACATATACAGCTTTTATCCATGCATACTGCAGCATAGGCAACCTTCAAGAAGCAGAGGATATGATGGCTAGGATGTTTGAAGTTGGAGTGATCCCAGATTCCTTGCCTTATACCATTTTAGCCGATGCTTATGGGAGACTGGGATTGATGGATGATGCATTTACTGTACTCAAGCGCATGGTTGATAATGATTGTGAACCTTCTCATCATACATATGCTGTTTTAATCAAGCATCTGTCCAAGGATAAGTTGTGCAAAGAGAACCTCAGTTTGACAGGTGTGGGTGATAGAGATGCAGCATTTCTGGATGTTGCTGATGTATGGAAGGTTATGGAGTATGATACTGCTTTGTTTCTTCTGGAGAAAATGATGAAACATGGCTGTTCGCCGACTGTGAACACTTACTCCAAGCTTATTATTGGACTTTGCAAGGCGAGGCGCTTGACTATGGCTCAAAGGTTACTCAGCCACATGAATATTAAAGGATTGTCACCCAATGAAGATATTCTTAATTCTCTTCTGGGTTGTTGTTGTGAGCTGGAAATGTATGCGGATGCATTAAATCTACTGGAGTCTATGATGAAGCATGGTCATTTACCAAAATTGGATTCTTTCATGTCCATAGTATGTGGATTATATGCCGAAGGGAATGCTGTCAAGGCTCAGGCAGCATTTTCCTACTTGCTTCATCGCCAGTACAATTATGATGAAGTGGCTTGGAAAGTTCTAATTGATGGCCTGCTCAAAAAAGGCCTTGTTGATGGATTTTCGGAATTATTCAGCCTCATGGAAAAGAAGGGCTGTTTTATTCATCCCAAAACTTACACCATGTTAATTGAAGGACTTGATGGATCATGATGACGAGACTGTTTTCTATTGAGATTGTTCTGTTTGGGGAAAGGTTCTTTGTTGTTTAATTTCGAGGGTCTGCAGGAGACTGTTTATAAGGAAGCAGCTGGCTTGTGGAAATTGAATGAGGCAAGTTGCTACTAAGTTTTGTCATATAATTTCTATCTTCTCAGATTCTCTGTTTCGTTCTTTAAGAAATGGCTGATGGAACGTTCCTCTTTCCTGTGGCAGCTCGTTCGACATGTCTTGTTTATGAAGACTTGATTGATAAATTCCATTTGGGAGGAGGCTTGCTTAGTAATGATGCTTAAATATGCACATTCTTTAATTCCATTGTTAATGGAGTCGCTCGATTTCCATCTTGATTCGAATAAATAAGGTAAATGAGTTGGAATGTTGGGGCTCATGTGCCATATGATTTGCACAATATCCGCATCATATTTCATGAAGCGACGCTATTTTTTCTGGATTGCATACAGTATAAGAAATGAGGGGACGAGGAGATGATGCTGGAACATATTTGGAAAGCTCTGGTTCTCTCAGAACTCAGAAGAGAGAGGCTGGATTCAGCAAGTTGGAGTTCAGATAAGACAGCAAAGGCAGTGAGATGCTTCTCATTTTAATTAGTCGAATCCATAGTAAATTTCTCTCGTTTAGTGGCACTCATTGTTATGCCTAGGCCGTTAGCATTTCTTAGCTTTGCATTTCTGTAAAGGACCATTTATAACGCCTTACAATAGAATGATCATAATACTTTGATCTTGTGTCTAAGGGGCAATAGTTCTACTAGGGACGTACGGAGTTCCAATTAATCTGTCTATAACATCCTTAATCTACATCTTCTGCTTCTCATTGTAAGTCATTCTGACAGCAAAGTCCCTAGATAACAGACCACAATTCTGTGCATCTGCTTGTGTCAATTTGACCTCTACTCTTGGTTGCAGGCTCTGGAGATCAAGAATATAATACGTAAATACCATCTCTGGTAACAGTTCAGGCTGAAGAGGGGTTTTCTGGAATTCCTTACGAAATCTCCGGAGCATGTCAGATAGAAGTTAACGTGCAGGTGCGGCTTCAGCAGGGCCCAACAAACTGTAGTACGTAATATATTGTCTTAGCTTATCAGTTTAGTCCATTTTATTCTGCATTTTGAGAAGATTCAGACCTGGAAATCATCTTCTTAAATGATCCATGGATGCTTAGAATCACATCTTCTCCGTGTTGTCTAGTTTTTGCTTAAAAGTGAAACTTAAATTCTGCTTACTGGCACTAGATGAAATGTGTCTGCAGCTAGTTGTCTCCGGCTGCACTCACTTCTCCTTAGGAGAGAACATTTCATCATGGCACTCAGTTTGGAAGAGTCGAAGGAGAAATTACCCTCTTGATATGGAACTCGAAGTTAGACTCTGTTCAGTTTTCAATCTCCTGAGACTTGCTGTTGTGAAGTTAATATCAATTGTTGCAATGAGGTTCGAAAAGATTCAGTCACAGCTGTTCTGGAGATTTGGTAGCATTGTGCCCCCAAAATTCTATTTGGTTTTGTTTTCAAATTTGGAAGTATATTAGCTTTAGCTAGCCATCCAAGCAAGTGCCGTCTTACTATAGTTCACCAGAGGTTCAAGTTGTAAATCCATCAACAATGCATGCAGTTAACATTCATTTTCATGTGGATTTTTCTTACATCTTAATAACCTTATTTAACCAACCTATCACTTACCAATTTCGTCTCATCTAAGAAGTGCTGCCAGGTCTGATTAGTACTAACTAATTAGGTTTTTTTTATATATATATAAGGGTGATATAAGTTATTTTTTTGTGATTGGGTATTACTTAAAAATTCAAATTTAGAACTTTCAGGTTTAAGGTTAGTGATTAGAGGTGGCAATTTGTGATCCAATCCACCAATCCAATCAAATTCATTCACTTAAATATTCAATTAATTCAATCCATTGAAATTCCATATGATCCAAATGATAAATTATAATTTAATAGCTATACTTTTTATATTCTACATTTTGTTACCTAAATATTTTTATGCGAAAAATGCCATTGGAAATTTATGTTTTGGTACCTAAAATTTTTCATTACGACATTTTAGCACCTAATTTTTTTAAAAATTACATATTTGTCAAAGACTTTGATGTCATTTGAAGACATAAATCAATCCATCAATCCATATGATCCAATCCATAAATCCACCAACCCATTTGGTCTATAGATCTATCAATCCATGGAATCCATTTGCCACATCTAATAAACAATTAGTTTTTATAAGAGGGCGACTGATTAGTGATAATACAATCCTAGATCATGAAATGGTGAAGAAGTATAATAAAAAGAATGTTTGTCCGCGTTGTACATATCATGAAAGCGTTCAATAGTGTTAATTGGGGGTTCTTATATGCTGTGATTTAAGCTATGGGGTTCCCTAAAAAATTTGCTGGGTGGATAAGAATATAGATGGAAAGTAAGGCCTTCTCTGAAAGTTTCAATGCGGGTTAATAGGAAATTTTAAAGCCAAAAAAGGACTTAGAAAAGGGGTTCACTTTCCCCTACTTATTTGCTATTGTCATGGAGATTTTTACATTATGTTGAATAGAACTGCCAGCTTAAAGGTACTCCCTTACCATCCGCAATGTCATTGGGTTGGTCTTATCCATTTATGCTTTGTGGATGACTTGCTGATGTTCACTAAAGAGCCAGAGGAAGGGGTTGAAGTTGTACCTTTAATGTTACCGTACAACTTCTGTACCTATATTTGTTTTTTATAAATTCTTTTATGATACAATATGAATTTGTACATATGAGTTATGATACAAATTGAAGTTGTAACATAATATAAATGTACAAATTTCTTAATGGTACAACTTCAATTTGTATCTAAAATGACAAATACATTTTTTTTACCGAAACCTGTGGGACTTTTATTAATCAGCTATTGGGGTTACATTGTCCAGCAAAAGCTGATAAACAAGATATACCGGTGGACAATCAAACCATACCATAGTCTCGTTCCAACGAGATCTAGCATGAGCCATAATGTGGGCAGCCATATTCCCAGCTCTAGGAACGTAATTCCAACTTCCGTTGCTGACTTCTCCCAACTTCCGACGAATGCTCCTGCATATTGTTCCTATTTCTGCCTGGATCTCATCTGCAACCTTGAGCTTTTGAGTAAGTGCCAGGCAATCAGTTTCCAGCGTGAACTTTCTCCTTGGATGCCTTGAGCAAGCTCCAATTCCAGCTCCATAGCGAGGGCTTCAGCTGTCTCCACACTGCATCTACCTTTCACATTCTTTACAGCGGCCATAAAGAATTTACCTCCATCTACACGGGCCACAACCCCAAGGCCAAAGCCTTCTCCAGGGAAGAAGCCAACATCTGTGTTAATTTTGATCTCTCCACTTCCCGCCTGCCGCCATCGAATTGGATCTGTCCACCTCGCTAACTGTTCCTTTCGAGTCTGGTGTGCTATGTAGTCAAGTAGAAAGTCACTCGCCCGTGGCACGATCTCATGTTCAGGAGTTTTTTGTCGTTAAAAAGTTGGGGATTGCGTTCTTTCCACAAGAACCATAGCAATACACTCCACTTCTCCAAAACTTCCTCACCATACTTCTTGATCACCTCCTTAACCCAGTTATAGTAGCATCCACTCTCCGGATATTGGAAGCAATCCTTCAGCTCAGAGCTACGCCACAGTCTAGATGTCCATGGGCACTCCCCGAACAAATGGATTTGTGTTTCACGGGCATCACAAAACGGGCACTTATCTCCTCATCTCGTACTTTTAGTGCTCATCCGATCTCCTGTCGGCAATGCCTCCTTTGCGAATCGCCATATAAAGTGTTTAACTTTCTGGGGGGCCTGCACTTTCCAAATCGCCTTCTATACCTCAGGTTCCCCAGCCGCCTCAACTGCTTCCCTAAGTTTAAACTCCTTCAGCCATTGATAGTAGCCATCTCGCACAGTATAGATACCCTTAGTGTTAGCCGCCCAAATCATCACATCTTGTTCGCCAATGCCACGCAATGGGACCTTCTCAATGTTGCTAACCACCTCCGACTCAAAACAAACTTCCAACAGATTCTTGTCTTATTGCTCGCTCACAGGGTCGATCAGCTCTCTCACTTTGGCATCCACCTCCAGTCCCATTGGAGCCGAGTTAATATAGTACGGAATTTCCGTCAACCATCTCCAACGCGCCATCTGAGACCCTCGCAAAGTAGATCTTGTGCGCTAATCAGGCTTCTCCACAAGAAGCTTGGTTGATAGCCAGTCGTCGCCTCAAGAACCGAAGAGTTCTTGTAATACTTAGCCTGCATGATACGTGCTACTAGGGACGACGATTGTTGATATAGTCGCCACAGCTGCTTCGCCAACAAAGCAGCGTTGAAACCATTTAAATCCCAGAATCCCATTCCTCCCTCTTTTGCACAGACCATTTCTTCTCGCCGCACCCAGTGGGCTCGACGCTTCGTACCCCGCTGCCCCCAATAGAAGTTTATAATCATACTGTGGATATCCTCAATGATTCCTGTTGGGATTCTAAATACAGACATTGCATAGGTGAGTTGCACTTGTGCTACTGATTTAATCAGTGTTTCCCGTCCTGCTACTGACAAGGTCTTTTCCTTCCAACCTTTTAGCTTTGTTCGAACTCTTTCTTTCAAACCATTAAACACTTCCTTCATGGAACGTCCCACGACAGTAGGGAGGCCTAGATACTTATCGTGCTTTTCAACACTCTTCATTCCCAAGATCCCACTAATAATTAGCTTATGGTGCGGTTTTACCTTCTCACTGAAAGAGACTTCAGATTTCTGAAAGTTTACCATCTGTCCCGACTCCTTTTCATAGTGACTTGAGGACATTTTTTAGTGCCATGCTCTCCTACTTAGTAGCCTTGCAAAAGAATACACTATCATCAGCAAATAAGAGGTGGGTGACTGTCGAAGCCCCTCTTGCTGGTTCCAGTCCTCGTATCTTCTTCCCTTTTGTGGCCTGCTTTGTAGCCACCGAAAGCCCCTCCGCACAAAGCAGGAAAAGATAGGGTGAAAGCGGGTCGCCTTGTCGAATCCCTCGTGAGGGCACAAATCTCTCAGTCTGATGGCCATTAATCAAAACTGAGTAAGACACCGATCTGACGCACATCATAATAAGTCCAACCCACCGGCTATCAAATCCCACCTTAAGCATCATTGACTAGAGGAAGTGCCAGTCCACTCTGTCATATGCTTTTGCCATGTCGACTTTGGCCGCCAGGTAGCCTACCCGACTCTTCTTCCTCTTCTTCACGCTGTGGAAGCACTCGAAGGCAGCCATGATGTTGTCAGTAATAACCCGCCCAGACACAAACGCGCTCTGCTCTTTTGAAATAACCTGATCCAAAAGAATCTTTAACCTGTTTGCTAATACTTTTGCCACCAACTTGTATAGCACATTACATAGACTGATCGGTCTAAAATCCTTTGGCGACACTGGACTTTTAATTTTTGGGATGAGCTCCATAAGCGTGGGAGTAAGGTCCGACACCATCTCACCCCTCTCCAAGATCCCCAAAACCAGATTTACGACATCATCTCCTACTATTCTCCAGTTCTTCCGGTAGAATAATACCGAGAAACCATCAGGCCGGGGAGCTTTGCGCTGGCCCATTTGCTTCAACATTGACACTACTTCTTGTCGAGTGAAAGGTTGGAGGATCTGAGCATTTTAATCGGCTGAAATTGATGCCTGGACTGCATCAATGATTGGAGTTTCGTTCGGCCTTTCACCAGCTTGAAATAGCCCTTTATAGTAGCTTAGAAAACACGCGTCATCTCATCTGGTTTATAAACCACCGTGCATGTCTCGTCCATCAGCTTACGAATTGTGTTCTGTCACCGTCTGGTCGTTGCCTTTCTATGGAAGTAAGGCATATTTTTATCTCCATCTCGAAGCCAGTCTGCACGTGAACGCTGCTTCCAATAACCCTCTTCCTGATTCTCGATTTCCTCCATCTCATGTTCAAGTTGCTTAACCTGGTCCATGGTGGCTGCAGAACGTGGGATTCTTTCAAGGGCACGCAATGCCTTTTGGATGCGCTGCTTTTGTTTTGAGAACTTGGGGAAAGTAGCATGGCTCCATTCAATCAATTTTTCCTTACATAATTGCAGCTTAGCCATTGTATCATGTTCTCCCACTACGTTCCACGATTCTTCTATGGTCCTTTCACAATCTGAATGCTTCGTCCAGAAAGGGTCGAACCTAAAGCTCCATCCCCATCTTGGTTCCACATCATCTTCACCCTGGGTATCACACACAATGGGTCGATGATCGGATCTTGTCTTGTCCATGTGTATAACTCTCCCTTGATGGCACTTCCTCGACCAACTTGAGGAGGCCAGGAACCGATCAAGGCGTTCTTCAATAAAACCCTCCATCGATCGTTTGTTCTCCCACTGTAGTTGTAACCCACGTTGACCAAATCATAGAGTTCAGCTTCCATCATACCGTCACTGAATTCCAGCATATCTCACTCTCCCACAAGGACCGCCCTCCACGTTTCTCATCATTAGTACGAACCTGGTTGAAGTAACCACCACTGAGCCACATTCCACTCCACTGATTTGCGAGCCGTCGAACAAGATCCCACGTCTGCCACTTCTCCCCACTCTCCATCCTGTCATAGATACCCGAGAAACGCCACACCTCCTCATCTTCTTCAATAATTTGCATATCAAAATGATTAAAAGAAGCAGACATCACCTTTGCATTAACTTCCTCTGTCCACCAAACACAAAGCCCTCTTGCTTGCCCCCCGCCATCTCCTCTCATCGGCCAGCTATCGCCATGAGCAAATTCCATCTCCTTTCTAGTAATCTCATTTTCCTCCTTCGTCTGTTTAGTCTCCATAAAGAAGACCAGTTGCGGGGAAATCCATCGCAATAGCAACTTCAAAGCTCTAACTGCCCGCTTATTCCCCAATCTGCGGCAGTTATAGCTGAGAAGCCTCATTTATGACCAGAAGGGGATAGGTTCACCGCACCTTTCGTTTTACTCATATTATCCAGAACAATTTTGTGACTCTTCATACTTGTTTCCTTCCCTTTGCTCACGAACTGTACGTCCACCTTTTGCTTGTTTGGCCTTGATATTGCAGCCGTTTGTGACCCCATTCCCTGTGCTTGATGTTCCTTTTCTAAGGCCTCTGGTATAATGGTTATAACAATGCAGCCATCCTTCCGTACCTTCTGTACTGACGTCTCATCCTTACCCAACTTTTGTTTACTTCCTCCCTGACCTTCCACTTCCTTTTTATTACGTTCACCTACTCCATCTTATGGCAACTCCCCATGGGCATTCTTCACCACAACCTTCCCTCTTACCCGCTGCGGGTTAACCACAGTAGCAATTCCCTCAGTTGGTATTCCCCCTGCATGAATTGCATGGCCATCCCTTCCCTCCTCATGTAACACATCAAAACGATTCTGAACCTTAGATCGGATGGGTTGATGCGATATCCACTAGCGCGATATTTAATTCCCGCGGTCCAAAAATGAAGGTTCGAATTCAACGATATAAGAATCAATTGGGAGCATTATTGATGGATAAATTGGGATAAACTGTGCACGAATATGTTGCTGCCAATTCGAGATGCGAGCAATTGGTAGGGAAATTGAGGAGTTGATTAATTGTGCTTATGAAGTGAAGATGGGATGCATGAGAATGCTTGGAGCTAGACACGTGGGTTATGCATGAAGAAGGTTACTGCTTTGCTTGCATGGATTAATTAAATGGCTGAGTTATTGTGGAAGCAAATGAATGTGACGTGTGTGCATATGGGTTTGCATGATTAATGGTACTTGAAGATGGAAGGAGAAGAAAAGGGTTCCGCAGTCAACAACTAAAAGAAGACTTGTCCGCAGCGGCTACGGAAATGTGGAAGGCCCGAGCTCAATTCCGTAAAGGAAAAGGAAAAAGAATTCAGCGGCAGCCTTTGGAGTTATTTGTTTAATTAGTAGTTTATTTATTTGTTAAAGTATTAGTATGTTTTCTACTTAGTTTAGGATTTGTTTTCCTATTCCTAGAAGGTTAGATTTATGATTTTGAGACCTCTATAAATAGAGGATGTAAGAGCTACGAATTTGGTACCCAATATTCAATTATCAATCAACGTTCAAGTTACAAGTTCATACGAACTAGTTCTTTGTGCAAGCTTCTGTTGAGAGTGCTCCAGGAGTTTCACGTGTCTCTTATCAACTAGAGAACGCGTCTAGTTGTGGCGAGCTTCTACCCAATAGCGATTGGCCTTATTCATGAGTGGGTGATTGTTTGATTGGTTTCATATAACAATTCGCCCTTCACACGAGTTGGAATCTGTTTGATCGTGTTCCATATCTATCCTTTATTTTCAAGTTGTCAAGAAAAGCTTCGAAAATTCCGTAAAAAGAAGGAAGGCTGCGTACTTTGGTAATATAATCCGAGTTCGAGGGTTCTCTTCGGATTTGGATCGTATCATGGGTGCCACAGCACTCTCGTCTTTCCTCGTTGGTTTCCGTTCCCTTCTCTTAACTGTCATCCATTCATCATACACCCCCCCTTTTGCGGGGTCAACATCTTGCGTTTCAGGCACAATGGACACATCTTCCTCTTTCTCTTCATCCACTTTTTTGTGGTGCACTTGCATATATGTCCCGTTTGGTTGTACAAACCACATTCACCACATATGTTTTCCAAGCCTTCATATTGGATGAGATAGGTTATTCCCTCTACCTTATACTAGGACAACAATGGCTTCGTTAGGTTAACTTCTACGCATGCCCGTGCAAATTTTGCGCGAGCTCCAGCCTCGGTCGCCCTATCCACTCTCACCGGCCTTCCAATAAGCTTCGCAATTATCATAACCGCTTCAGCATTGATGAACTCCACAGGAAGCTCTGGGAGTTGCACCCAAACAAGTGTTGACTTAATTTCTGACGTCCATGGGTCGAATCCCTTGAACCAATGGTGAACCGTTGGGTACGTATCCCCCAGTAGCCATGGACCTCCGAATGCATTCATAATCAAGTTTGCTCTTAAATCTAACCAGAAAACATCCATTCTTCATATATGAGATTTGGATGGTTCCATGCCTTTCCCATAAGAAATTCAGTCTTCGCGCCAACAGAAGATACGACACCCTTCTCCCCAATCCCTTAACAACTATGGCAGACCACCATTCCTTTCTCCATCGAATCTTTTGGGTAGAAGTGAACAGCGCCGAGGGGCACCTTGGGACCTGTTCTTCCTCCAGGATACAGTCATCTTCTTTGATGCAATCCTCAATACCAAGACAAGTTGGTTCGAAGGCCAAGAAGAATGACGATGATCAAGGATCAAGATTATATAAAGATTCGAGGTCGAAATTGGTACAGTATTTAGTATCGGAATACCAATACCGAAATCTTAAATACCGAATTACATTCTAAAATTAATGTCAATCTCAATCCCTAAATAATTTTGATATCTCAATCCCTAAATATTTTGGTATCACAATTGATATTATCGAATACAAAATTAATTACCTTTGCAGTTAATAATTAAATATATAAATTTAATTTAATTTTTTAATTTAGGGCAAAGAGACTAAGCAACGAGTATTGAGTTTGCCTAGAGCTAGGATATGGATAAGGAGAATGGAGGAGATGTGACATCTCAAACCCTGTCATTGGTAATCTTTAATATGACGTATTGGAGGCTGAGAGACGACTAATACTAGTGTTTGTTTTTTTGCAGTTATGAAAATAACAAGAGATTAGGTGAGAGACGAGAGTGACTTAGACTGGAAAGTCAAAATTGTGTTGGATGAGGGCTTCTAAGTTGTGAAAGAGTGAGGAATGACCTAAGGTTGTGTGTTATATTTCATTAATTTTTAACTTTCGTTATTTCGGTATATACCGACCCCAATCTCGTAATCCCGAATACCGAATAACACTTGAAAATGAATCTCAATCTCAATTCCTAAAAAATAAGCCGGTATTCGATAATACCTAATAGTGATAAATTCGGTACGGTATACAATATATCCCAAATACCGGTACCAAACTTCGAGCCCTATATCAAGTTGAACACTTGACTTTTTGGATAATGAATAAGTATCATATCACTACACTAAATATTATTTCTTGTTTATTTTCAATTTTATTAATTTTAATTTTATTTATTAATTTTATGAGAAGATGACACATGTATGTTTGAATCCTGACTTCGCCGCTGCTTAGTACTACACTAATTTTATTTTGATCAGTTGTTTGATTGCTACTGTAATGTTGTGAGTGAGTGAGTGGCAGCTTGCCAACATTGTATTTTGAAATGAAGTCGGCAGGTAGATACTCCTAGGGTTATTGCAACTTGTTAATTAACCACAAAATAAATTCAAGGAAATCACCATTAATCTTAATTTACTACATAACTGTTTGTGAACAACAAATATTAAATAATCAACGATTCAACGTATAATATAATTATTTAATTGGATTCACTACATTGATATTTCGAGCCTCAAGTTTCTAGCAAGCTAAAAGGAGAAACTCTAGTATACATATTTGCAATTTCCGACCTACAATAGTAGCTAAACAAAAATGTGGTGTTAATTTGACTGTGAATACATCTGTTCCTTCAATATATATATCAGTGCTGATGCCCTCTGCTTTAGCTTGAAGTAGCAAAAATGAAAGCCTCTTCACTGCATGGAATGGTCAAGCCACCCATAATTGGATGATCAAACCCGAACTCCTCTTCAGCCATGCTCAACAAACCTTGAAATGAAGGTTGGTTCAGATACGAAATCGGAACTACAAACCGCTTCTTGTTATCCGTCGTCTCTCCTACATAAACTGCTAAGTAACCCTTTGGGACATCTGAACAACTTGAAGACGATGACGATGATCTGCTTGACCCGAAACTGGACCTTCGACGAATTTTCTTGGCAAGGTTGGTTGGCAAGCTAATAGCCATGGTGGATCCTCTTTTTGCTCGAAAATGAGCTAGTGTTGAAGAAAAGAGCTGAAGATGAAAGGAAAGTAGACAAAGTGGGAGGCTTAATTGTTTTCTGTGTTGGTTTGTGATGATGATGAACTAACTATAAGCTCATTTGAAGGGTTTATATATAGGCAAAGGGTCCATGGATTTTCGGCCACAACTTGGAAACAATTAATCGGCCCCCAATTGGCCTTGTATTGTACGTTACTGCATGGGACATAGTTCATTAAGCACCACATGGTCGTGCCTTCAAATGACGGGACCAATATTGTAGGGAGGAAGAGGACAGACCAGGTTCACCTATACCCTACAATTGAAGGGCTAGCTAGCTAGCTAGCTATGCCAATGGCTGGCCACATAATGATATTGGAATATGGATATATAGGTTAAGCAGCACATGGTCATGCCCTTCAACTGTCCTATTTTGTGTAAGGAAGGAACATGGTTTGAGTTGAGGCAACCAACCCCCTAGTTTATGGGGTTGTAGTGTTGTACTTATCCGTGTTTCCACAAGAAAAGAGGGCAAGGCTGCCTGAGAATGAACTGAGAGTGAGAGCAGCGGCGGTGCATGCGTGGTAGGTTCTTTGGCTGTGACCGATTCAGAAATTTGAATGAAACGAGAGTGGTTAGAATCGTGATAATAGTGGAGGGGTTAAGACATTACTAATTATTTTATTTTTTAAATTTGTTACAAATTTTATATGTAACATTATCTATATTTCAAATTTGTGAAGGAGGTATAACCTCTCCACGCTTAACCTAGCTAGCTCCGCCACTGTTTTTTGGTATCCATCATATATAACAGAGATTCTTGCTTGTAAGCGAATAATGATTTTATCTACTGATACTATAATTGGTCTCAACTTAGAGGTTCCAAATTCAAATTACTTAACTATTTATTACCTATATCACCTAAAAAAGTTATTTATGCTTCTTAAATCTTAAGCAATTAGAATAGGTGGTACTGTAGTTAACAAAGTAACACGTGTTCATTGTACTTTATAAGTGCACAAATTGTATCAAATAATAAACTAATAAGCAGTGGCGTATTAATTTTATTATAACATATATTGTTAACATAAATGGATTTATAACCTTAATATTAGATATATATATATATATATATACGTGGTGTATTGATTTTATTTTAGTACAAATATAATTTATTATATTATGATAAACTTAACTTTTGAGGTTCGTTGTATTATCTTAATCCTCCAAATTCCTATACAATTAATTTGAGTATAAATATTCATAGTATCTTCTAAATATTTCAAGTTTATGTGATAACTTATTAGATTCTACGTATTCATTGTACTAAAATTTAATAGATGAATGTATCGAGCCACAAAGTTTAGAAGAAATAGTGGCCGACGTCATTGGGAGTTCAATTGAGGATGACGGAGATGATGATTCAACACCTTCGTAACCGGTCACGAGAAAATAAGTAATTAAAACCGCATCGACTCTTCAAGAATACTTGTTGCAATTAGAGAAGACAACACATTTTGAGTGCAATGAGGAAAGTTCAAGATGAACTTCTGATAGACTTGATGAATTATATTTTTACAATTATTAATTTATAGAATTGAAAATACATGTATTTATATAGGTTGGCTCTAGAAAATTATTACTTATTATTTTATTAAATTTGGTCATTTTCCTAGACTGGCCCAAGTCGGGATAGGAGAAATTATTAATTTATACTAGATTATTAATTTATCAAGTATTAATTTATAAATTTTTACTGTATAGTTTTAAAACACTAAATTTTATAATCATTCGGAAAATATAATAGCAGGTAAGTCTAGCTTTTTGAATGGAGAATGCAAAATCCTTCAAATCCATGCTAGGTCTCAACTGTCTGTTGGATGGACATGGTGATAACTTTGTAAAATGATATGTAATCGTGTGCTTTTAAAGGCTACTATACGTTCCACTCACAATCCAACAATTATGCTTCCACTTAACACATTCTCACTTATTGATTATGAGCACTATAATCGAATTGTCCACAATCCAAAACATTTTAGCTTCATTCTTTGTTCATAAAGATAGAAGTGAAATAGTAGAAAACATAGAGATATTAGACAGTTCGGTTCAAGTATAACTGTAACCGTTAAGTAGTTATCGGTTACCATGAAATTATTTGTGTTTACCGTATCGTTTATATTAATCTGCTAACCAAAATGATATATCTCTTCTCTCTATATATGATTGTATGGTGAAGCTTAAGTGTCGAATTTATGTCGGGACATCCCTAAGGCAACCAACCTGGTATATGTCATAGTGACAATTCAAGAAGCAATCTAGATTATGTGGTGTTGCTACTTGACCATGCCACTGGGCCATGGCCTTCCCATGGGACCAATCTCTTGCAGGGATATGAGACATCCAATAGTCCTACAAGACAAGAGCCACACACAAAATTGAAAGTGTATAATGGACTTGGCCAACTAACAAAGTTCTGAGGTCGATGTGAGTCGAATTGTCGCCTTCGGTTAGAGAAATGTTGGGACAGGTTAGAGATGTATATGTCAGGAATGAGGAGATGGAAGTTTCTGATAGCTTAAGAAACTTCCTATTATGCCCTAATCCTAATAGGAAATAGTTGTCATATTAGTTGCCACGAAATTGTTTATGCATAAAAATTAAATCAATACCACATTAATGTGTAGAAGAGATTTGAGGAGTGTTTTAGAGTCGTTGTGCAAAGAAGACATATAATATAAGATGTATATGGTACCGGTATGTCAGGAAGAGGTGTCAGTTTCTAATAGCTCAAGACATATAATATAGGGTAATGTCTATTTTTATCCAAACCTTTTCCAGATTTTTTTAAATTAGCCAAACCTATCGAAATACTAAGAATTAGCCAAATGTTAACTTCTAGTGAGCCATTTTGCTAGTAACATTGACTTGGCAACATGATACTGCCTTGGAAGAGACACATGAAGGTCAACATTTCAAAATTTCAGTATTTTAACTAAGAAAAGAGTTACAAAATTATTAATGATAATGTAATAATGGCTAATATCTTGATGCATTACGAAATATTTGGCTAATTAATAGCATTTTAAAAGATTTGGATAATATAAAATAATCTAAAAAAAGTTTTGATAAAAAATAGACATTACCCTATAATAAAAAATAGACAAGTTTCTTTCTTCTTCTTTTTTTCCTTTTTCCTTTTTCTTTTTTCTTCAAGGGTTCTTCGTTTGGTCTTTCGGCTCTTCTTTTTTGCTTCCTTTTGGTTTTGCAGGCCTATGAAGAAACAGGGGCCTTCTGGCGGGCTTAGTTTCCTTGGTAGGCCTGGTTCGGTTCGCACCCCTCGTGCGTTCTTGTACTAGGAACTCGCTTGTTTTGTTTTTGTTTTTTGCAATCTATCTATCACCCTTATCAAAAATAAGATGTAGGGAAGTCCGACAAATTACTAACCAAAAGAGGTAAAGTTTTTAGTTGCCGCTTTGACGCAATAGTGCATCTAGAGGTGACAACTGAACTCGGAACTATGGGTACCCAACCTGGTTAAAGCGAGTAAACCTCGATTTTAACGGGTTTTAAGTGGTAATTTCAAGTAAGTTAGGTAAAAATTCATATTTTCACTTACTTCAATTCGTAAATTATTTACCAATAAAACGAGATGATATTTTTAAGGGTATGCCTATGGTGACTTGCAAGTCACCATAACTTGGAGAAAACGGTCGATCTCTTTCATCAAGTGGTCGACCACTTTCCAAGAGAATGGTTGACATCTTCCACCAAGTGATCTACCACTTGATTCATTCGGTCTACCACTTCCGAAAATGGGTTGACCTAATGACAGACTTACCTTCAAGTGGTCGACCTCTTTCACCAAGTGGTCGACCACTTTCTAAGAAAATAGTCGACCTCTTCCACCAATTGGTCTACCACTTGAGTCATTCGATCTACCACTTCCGAAAATGGGTCGACATGATGACATACACATACTTACCTTCAAGTGGTCGACCTCTTCTACCAAGTGGTCTACCACTTGAGTCAACGGTCTACCGCTTCAAAAATGGGTTGACCTGATGACATAATTACCTTAAGTGGTCGACCTCTTTCACCAAGTGGTATACCACTCAAGGCAGCCGGTCTACCACTTCTAGCAATCGGTCGACCTGTGACACACTTACCTTCAACTTACAACTGTTTGTTGGAGGAGGTAGACCACTTCCCGCAAAACAACCTATTGATTCCACAAAATGGTTTAGGAAAATAATGGACAATAGGAGACCAACTATATAAAATTATTTTTGTACTAACGCAACATCCTATCAATTGTGGGCAACCAAATCTCTACGCAGATTATAGGCTGAGACAAAACGAAACACCCTCTTTCAACTCTTCATGAATAAAAATCCACAAAAGTGATGATATGATATTTATGAACGTCGAAGATGACACAATTGTATAACAAATATACTCTACTTCTTGAGCATCCTCATAACAACAATAACAACCAAGTTGATCTATCACAAGACAATTATTGGATAGAAAGTTAGAAACCATAAAACTTAGAAATTGAAGGAAAGAAGAAAATCCCTATAAAGTAAGTCACATATAAGAAATAAATATGTTGAACATTTTTCAAATCTATGGGAGAACAATCACTCAAGAAGCTTGTCGTCTATGCTTGCAGCCTGTGTACTAATTTTAAATCTCTTAATAGCAAGCATATCCATTGTTATTGGACTCTAATTATATATGATGATTTCACTAGGAATGGTTCATCAGGTGGATAAATTATTGAAAGAGGTGGACCGCTTGGAGAAAGAGGTAGATCATTTGATGAAATTGATAGACCATTTTTTTGTATAGAGGAAGAGGTTGACCATTTGTTGAACATAGCAAAATGGAAAATAGTACATCCGGTCGACCATTCCAATAATGAGGTCAATCATTTTGTCCAAATAGGTCGACCATATTAGTGAAGAGGTCGACCATTTTGTCCAAGTCACGATGACTTGCGAATCATCGTAGCAAAGTCCTATTTTTAATTATTAGCATGTTGCCAATTTGAATGAGGTCGATTAAGTCTATAAGGCTTTAATTCATTTCCGCAATACATGTACCGATGCAAGCCCAATTCAAGTAGGAATGACAATGAATCTGATCAGAGGTGTAAAGTATATATTCATTACATTACCCTACTCAAAATAGTTCGTGTTTTGCTCATATCCACACAACATTTGTAAGAAAACCATGTCTAAACCCGATCAGGTTTCGGATGTCCACGATTATATATCGATGAGTAACTAGAATTAATACCCGCGGCTACGCCGCAGGAACTAAAGTTGCAAGAACACGATCATGTGATGCCAAGTTTATGTAATAGCAAAGGGGGATCATTGTACTATAGACAACAGTGTGGATTTGGAAGTTTTGAAAGTGTGTGCAATAGACTTGTCTCTTGAGCTCTATAGTCAATCAACATAGGAATATATTCTACGTCACAACAGCATGAGAGACTACGGCTGTAGAAATTCAATCCCGCCGAAAATTTTGTACCATCATTTTAATGGGTTCATGATTAACTACTGAAAAGATATATGCAACATTGAATAACAATCTTCATATTGATCCAATGAATAGCCAAATAATAAGCATACACTAAGAGTTTCTCACCGAAACCAACTTGTTGACATAGTTCTACTCGAGACTTGGGATACTAACTCAAAGCAATGTCTTAAGAGTTCCTTACCAAATCCAACTTGTTGACATAGTTCTACTCAACATATACAAACTCCCATATCTAAGACTTTCCTACTGAAACCTTAAAAATCTCTGAAGGTTCTACCATGCATACCAACATGTATATTTTTTTCTCGCCAAATTTGCAGCAACATAAACTTATAGTTTTGCATATCCGAGTTCAACCTTGGATCTCTTCACCTATTCTTTCTTTGCTTGTCCTTCCATCTGCAATCTCCACCTTCCTGCTAACCTTCTTGGCTTGCATAATCTCATAAATCTCCACCTTCCTACTGACCTCCTAGACTTCACATATAATGGCTTCAATCCAAGTATGGAAAATTGAACCTCGTTGATTCAGTAGTAGCAGGAAAATAGTTGCTTGAGCTAATACTCTGATGAATAAGACATATGTAATTCAAGTACTCTGATCCAAGAGTGGTAAAGACAAAGTTACTTATACATACTGGCATCTCAATTAAACACATATGTACAAATCACTTATGCAATAAGCTTATTTGAGTGTTGCTCTTGCCTCAACTAAAATTGAATTGTAAGCAACACGATTTTTACCTTTTCTTTGTCGTCAGAAATTGCATCCTGCAGCTCGTATTTCTGTTTGTGCGAAAGTAGCAGAATCCTAAGGTACTTCCTCTCCATCGTTGCAGCTCCCAAACACGTCAAAAGTAGACTATAAGGTTAATGGCTAATCGAATTACCTACAGCCCATGGAAAAATATCACAGAGGAAAGTATGGTCATGGTATGAGTAATAAGGTACAGATTGAGTTGTAGCCTGGAACTCACTATATGTATTGTTTATAACTTATTTTGTGTTATGTGATTTAGGAAGCACCCAATGGTCCACTGTAAGTAATTATAAAAGAGCCGATTACTTTAAGCAACATAACATTCAAATCAAGCTCCTTTGCAACATGGAAAGGGACTCAGTTTTATGTCTGCAAAGCAATCTGTAGATCACAGTACCCAGGCACACCAACCCTAAGACACGATTTGACGAAATGCAGCAAGGGTAAGCAACTACCCAAGCGGAATCAATCAGCGGAAACAACAACCGTTCCTGTTTGTGTCTCGCTGTCCGTCCCGCACTGTAGGTCGGCGACCAATTGGCCCACAACTGAAACCCAAACACGACAGGCAAGGACATCAAATAGCCACCAGACCACTAAAAACTCGAGCGGCGTAGATATGGATAAAAGAGAGGAAACAAAAGGCCAAGCAAGCAAAACGAATGATAGTACAAAGTGAAAACCATACCATAACTCCGTGGCCATATTCCTGAGAAGTGAAAATCCCGACAACTTCGCCGTAGCTGCTGTTGCGGGGCTAGAGCAAGGAAAGCAGAAAGAATCTATGCATGGTGCTGCTAACATCTATGATTTTGTCTGGATCTATTCTGCGACAGCTGAAAGAATCGAACTTGCGTTGATCACCTGTTGAAAAATCAATGGTCCTTGTACCCGGTCCTCCCCGGTGCCTCTGTTTTTCGCTGAGTGGCTGGAGTCGAAGGAGAGAGGAAAATCAGAAAAGATTGGATTGTGAATGAGAGTTGGAGGATGGTGGGGAGATGGGAGAAAAGACTGATTGTATAGAGGGATGGAAGGATGATATTGTGAAAGAAAATCAACAGCGATGTGATATGGGAGGATTGAGTATGGGAGAAGGATTTGTCACGGAGAGCTAGTTGGCGGGAAAAAAAAAGGGATGGTGGGGGTGCAATTGAGGGATGGTGAGAACTGAAAGCAAATCAGAGATGTGACTGGTATACTGATTCGAAGGAGGTAAGGCGTTGTCGATTGTGAAGAGGGGAAGATGGCAACAATTGCGTGGAGAGCCGGTTGTGAGAAAGAATGGGACTCTCATTGCACCAGAAAATGAAATAGCAGCAAAACAATTGGGCCAATAAAGTGTACCCAACTTTTATATTTTAAAGAATAGTTACCTTTGTTCAATTTTGCCTGCTTGATCTTACAGTTACTTGTTAACTGCCGCCTAGTTTACCTTCTTAATTGCTTCTCTTAGAGCATCCATACCAAGTGTTATGACAACAACTATTACGAATTTATGCCGAGTTCTGTCGTTGTGCAGAGATGTCTGTCATACAAAATTACTGCTCCAGCTCATTCCAGTGTTTGTAAGAGAAGAGCTTTTCCATTCAATATTGGCTTCCCACAAAAGCTTCTTGCGGCTAAAAAAGAGATCTCTAGTAGTACATGTACAATTCCTCTATCGTGTATCTATACAAAAATGGTGCTTCATCATCTCCATTCCTTCAATCAACTCAGGTTCGAAGTCACTGAAATGAAAGTTTCTTCCCGGCATGGAATTGTCAAGCCGCCCATTGGATGGTCAAAACCAAACTCATCTTCAGCCATACTCAACAGATCTTGAAACGAAGGTTGGCTCAAATACGACACTGGTACTACAAACCGCTTCCTCTGTGATTCTCCCACATAAACTGCCAAGTGACCCTTCGGAACATCTGGAAACCTCGACGACGACGATTTGCTTAAGCCACCAGAACCGGATCGTCGAAGAATTCGGTTAGCAATGTTGCCTGGCAACCCAATACCCATGGTGCTTTCTTTGGCTGGATTTTGAACTTGTGGTGATGAAAGAGCTGAAAGAGAAGAACTCAGTGAACAATTGGAAGGCTTGAAATTATCTTTGCGTTGGTTGTGATTTGTGGATTGAGCAGCTACTATAAGACCCTTTATATAGATATAAGTCTTCCGGGCTTCCCATCTACAACTCAGAAAAACCAAAACTGAATTTGGACATAGTTCAGGCAGTCTCACATGGTTTTGCCTTGGCAATGATGGTACAAAATGCAGGGGAACCATTGGAGGGTACCCTACAGCTGGGCGGGCCACATAGTGTCATATCCATATTGATTGTATGGTGAAGCTTAGTGATGTCATATCCATATATGGATCTATCCACAATTCCACATAACTACAGCACAGATGTGAGGGAGATGAGAGGTATTTAGGGGTACCATGTCCTACAACAACAGCCACAATTGGAAGGGACATGCTGCTGCCTTGGATTTATGGAACACATGTAGGGGACCTAGCAAGGTATTTGCCCTACATTGGAGGGGACATGCCTTAGTCAACCTCCTACCATAAAAATAGTGGCAATGTTGAGAAAGAACTATGAAGGAGGCAGAAGCAATTAGGTGATGCTGGTCTGACCAACCAAGCAACTAGTTTCAAATATATGCTTGGGAAGATTGATTCCACATTCTGTCAAGATGGTGCCTTATCTAACTGGAAGAAATTCCGCTAGAATGTCAATTTGAATGAACCCTTTTTATTTGGTAAGATTCAGGGTTCATGTCTGTCAGAGCATCAACCAAGATGAGTAATGTAAGCACATGTTTGTTAGAATGCATATAAATCAATGAATGTTGAGCATAATGGTGCCCTAGTGATACTTTCACAAACGCTTGGATGATCGAGTCGATACTACAGAGGCAAATTTTGAATGTCACATCGTGAGTCGGCTACACCTTGTGAGAAATTATACAGGCTCAAAGAGAGTGGCTCATGAACACTCTCTCACACATAAATACATGTTTATAGCTTTGTGTGCCCCATTGGATCTGAGAAAAGTAATCGAGTAAGAACACCCATGCAGTTCAACTGTTGAAACTCAGGAGCAAGATGTTAGGACCTTATCAGCTACATGACTCAGATGATGATGGTTTTTCTGGCTGATGTGGATTCTCCCGAGCACCTGTGTGCTGATCAACCTACCAAGAATGATACAAGGCCATGTTGAGAGTTGATCCACAAAAGGAGTCTGATGAAAACAATCGAATTGATATTTACCTGGTCTGAGTGTGTCGATATTGACATTACAGGTGGTACACCCATCTTCCCGAGCATAAGCTCCATGTTTGCGTTCATCCTAGCAATCTGAGCTTCCATGGAGTTGTACTTTTGCTCAATTACCTCCACTTTATTATAAACCTTGTTTGCTTCATCATCTGCTTGCTTTTTGGCCTCCATGGCCATCTTTGCAAACTGGATATGGCCACACTTTCGGCCGTATAGAGTGTTAGGGGTAGGTCCCAGACCACACATGCGCACATGACTGTTCTTTTCTTCACCCATTACATCACGGAATGTGTCACGAGAACTATCACTGGCTTCTGAATCCTGCTGCTTCTCAGAAGCTTTTTCTTGCAGTTTTGCCTGAGACCAAAAAAGAAATCACCAAGTATTGATTCTGTAATAAATTACAATAATTAATACCACAAATCTATGAACTGCACTGAACTTAGGACATACGATCACTTCTGCGGCTTTTTCACTGACAGGATTTCCATCCTTTCGTGTATGGGTCAGCACATACAACTCTGCCCTAGTAGGGGCCTTCCCATCAGCCCTTTTCGCACGCTGCTCACATTCCACACACACACACACAAAGACCTTAAACCACTATTATCTGACCATCAAAACTGCATGAGTTGTGTGATTTTAATTTCAATAAGTTGCTACCTCTTCCTCCCTTAAGGTCGCATAACTCTTTGAACCAGAGGTGTGTCCGCCTTTAAGATTGGCACGATTTGCCTTCTGCCTAGCAGCATACAACTACAAAAAGAAACATGATATTTCAGCCTCCACTTTACATCAAGACACGATTAAGTTTGGACCTGATAAATGTTTCTACCCAGAGAACATACCTGCACGTCTTCCTTGTTCCAATAGGATATGAGAATTGGCCATTGATCGGGAAGCACTCTCTTGTCAAGATTCCTCATACGCTCTTCATCAGTCTTGTACGAGTAATAGTCTGCCTTCAACCTTGCTTTCCAGTTCCTCCATTTTGTAGAAAGAGACTTCATCACCCACGATTTCCCAATTACTGGATCAATCTCAAACTTTGCCTTCAAAATACAGAGAAAGAAGGAATTAAGTGAAAGAAACAAATATATTATGAAATCAAGGAGAATATGAATTGTACACCTTAGGGAATGCTCCCCCTCCCCCCCCCCCCCCCCCCCCCCCCCCCCCCCTCCCCTTTCCGTAACGAGCCTCTATCTATATCAACCCACTCATTTCCTTCTTGTCAATTAACCTATACCTAGGTGTTTTGAGTTACCTGAACCATCAGCCACATGGTTTCTTTGTTGGCCTTTGGCACTCTGGACCAGTGCACAAGAGTAACAGGAGCCAAGTTACCATCCCGTGCCAAGGTTCCCAGAAAGGAAGCCAGTTTTCTTCCTTCAGAGCCTATTGCTTGTCCCAAATCATTCAGGGGAACAACCATTTTTCTACCATCAGGCGTGTCCCATGCAGCGCGACGATAGGGCAGATCTCGTTTTCGCTTTCTTGAGCTAGGTGCACCCTCTTCCAGCCTGCCTGGGCTGCTGTGGTCTTCATACTGCTGATGCAGGGAAGGAGAGTGCTGGAAGGAGGGGGTTGCAGTTTCCGTCGGACAATTATTAGAACATGCTTCATTCTGTCTCACGTCCCTCTCCAATCCATTCATATCTAACAAGCATGAGTTGGTCATTTAGATAACTGAATAACAAGCACACAAGACAGTCTAAAGCTCATCATAATATTGGCCTGTTTGTTTCAGCAGAAGAAAAACTACAAAAGAACTGGACTTATAATGCACATACAAACACATTTATTCAATCTACCTTTTCGAAACCACTATTCATGCTGAACTCGACAAATTATTAAAATCTAAAAGCCACCTTACTGCGACTTTGAAATAAGAATGTATTCTTAAAGTTTGCCCATAATAGTCATTTCGGGAAACTCACTCACTCCTATGTTATCAAACAAAATATATGTGAGCCTTCATGGCATATCTTGGACAAAAAAAAATTACTAACATAAATATCTCGTCACATCAACTATATTCTTGTCTAAAACAGAACCAAACATGGTTTCTTCACCTTTACCAAAACTCGAAAAATTCACTCTTTTAGCTGAATCAAACACACCCACTATAAAGTATAAACTGAATGAACATCAGACCCGCTATACAGTTCATCGCAAATTTCAAACCAGAAGGAATGGTTCAGAGGTTACACAGATAAGAAATTCCTTAAAACTCAACAAACTCATGACTACCAAACAGCATGAGAAGCCTACCTCCTGCATGTGAAGCAGAAGCAAACCACTCAGAGTGTTGTGGCTGTCCAATATTTCCCTCAGGTATCTGTGACCGATGTTCATGGCTATGACCAACCGGAGGTTTTTGTGGTTGAAGTTGGCTCTGGCTAGTCTCTATGGGGTTAACTACAGCTGTGGACACAAATCCATTTTGCCCCAAATCACTCCTACCAAGCAGACCGTCTGGAGATCCTACACAATGGAAACATAACTGCTTATAAGTGCAATGGAAGCATAGGCCTCACAGCTCCGTCATCAGGAACCCCAAGAGATCAAATGCACATACGTGTGTCGTCGTTCTCTTGAACAAGAGACGGAGATGGCTGTTGCTGACTAGGACTTCTCGTGTGACGTCTCTGATAATGTAGGGTTGATTTTGACTGATGCTTAGAACGGCTTGACTTAGCCCTGATAGAAGCCCGAGCTGAATCTTTCTTTCGCTTCCTAACAGAATACGCAGAGGGTACATCCAAATATCCTGCAAGACAAAAATCCACTAAATAGAAGGCCCCTTATACACAAACTGAACATAGAAACAAACTTCAATAAGTGCTTTTGTGAATCCAACAAAGGGACGAGCCGATGCCCCAAATTTTACAAGCAAGTCCTCTTGAAATTCAGGAACTTGAACAATTATGTCCACACTCTCCTGCACTTTGAAAAAATGAGGGAGTATCTGTAACAGACTTTGCTATCAATCTTCAGAGATCATCACTTTCATTAAGTACCCCCAATAACCAATCTAAGTATATACCTGCATACTCTGCATTGATTCTAGGTTGCAGCTCTAGTAATTTTGGCGACTCATTTGTGGTTGGCTGAAGTTGAGGTAATTGAGAATGGTGACTGTAGCTTGATGGAGGCACCTGAGCCTTGTAGTTTGATGGAGGCACCTGAGCCAGTTGACTGTAGCTTGATGGATGCAGCTGAGAGTGGTGGTCGTAGCTTGATGGAGGCTCCTGAACCTCAGGGCTGTAGCTCGATGGAGGCACCCGAACCTTGTAGTTGGAGCTTGATGGAGGCACCTGAGCCTGGTAATCATAGCTTGATGGAGGGACAGGAGTCCTTTGGTGGAAGCTTGATGGAGGCACCTGCACATCGTGGTTGAAGCTTGATGGAGACCCCTGAGCCTGGTGACTGTAGCCAGATGGACGCACCTCGCCTAGTGACTGGTGGATGTAGCCTGATGGCCGCACCTGAGCTGGTGACTGGTGGTTGTAGCTTGACGGATGCACCTGAGAGTGGTGGTTGTAGATTGACGGAGGCACCTGAGAGTGGTGTTCGTAGCTTGATGGAGGCACCTGAGTCTGGTAACTATAGCTTGATGGACGCACATGGTGATTATAGCTTGAAGGAGGCACCTGAGCATGGTGACTATAGCTTGGTGGTTTGACCTGATCCTGGTGACCATAGTTTGATGGGCTGACACTGATTCGACCCATCATTTGACCGTTACTAGTCAAAAACTCAAGTTGGCCTACAGAGTTAAATTGAATAAGCAATACTTCCAACAATGGCACCAAAATAATGCAACAAATTGAAAAACAGAAAGACCGCCAAAACTTTATGCAGCTCCAAAGGCATGCATTTGCCGGATCATTATAAAGTGTAGCACCGGAAATAGAAGAACGGTAGGTCAGGCTGTGGACCAAGACCATTTCCATGAACATGACAGAAGACACTCAAAAGATACTTCTAGCATAAAGTGACCATCAAATCAACTGAAGTCACTAAGACAAGCACCAATAGAGTGAAAAATAAAATACCAGTAGGCTTTTGCATTTCAGTACGCAGGCCGGCTGATGTCCAGTATTTGAGAAACTTCTTCTTCACTCTCTTCATAAGGTACACAATATAGTCACCTTTCTTGTTATACTTCAAACATTGTGCCCAAATGCATTCAACATCCTTGTATACATCATCAGAATTTAGGTACTTGAAACCATTCTGAAGATTGCTACATATTGTTCCAAAATCCATAGGTATATCTACACGACTCTGCACATTATCACAAACATCCATCTCAAACCACCATTCCAAGCATTGAAATGGTAAGTGCTCACACTTACTTGGCCATAAGCTTTCGTGATGGATTATTTATGTTCATTCCGGACTAACAAAGTAAGAAAACAGCTCTTGCTTACAGGAAACCCCAAGGGAACAGGATCAACAGGAGCGCTAAATGATGCAGCTTCATCCATATCCATGATCTTCTTAATCACCTAAACCAAACCAAAAAAAAAAAAAAAAAAAAAAAAGAAATCAACTAGTCAAGCATTCTTCAATCTTAAACTGGAAACTTCCATATTTTGTTATTTATACTATGCAAAGAAGAAAATGCCATGGAGAAAAAATTAGTATAAGAAATTGACATACTCCTAAGCAAATATTTAGTTCTTTGTCATTGTATCGGGGATCATGGCATGACTTCTTCGATTTCCTGTCTTTACTGCTCCAAGGATGCAATCCGCTCAATGATGTGACGTGTAAACTGCTACCAATCTGCACGGCCTCACCTTCTGTAGGTCGACCATGCTGGCTCCGTGATATATCACCCCTCCACTCAATCCCCTGCTCCACCACCATGCCCCTATTACAACCATGAACACGGAAAGAGTTGTCATCTCCACTTGATGATGAAGAAGAAGATGAACTAAAACGATGGCCAGAACGAACTCCCTGGTGGCCGACATCACTAGTTTTGTCCATTCGAAGACTTTCTTGGGCAATCTGGCCGACAAGGTTCAAGAATGCCTTCTTATTGGCATTAAGTGCCCCAGAAGCAGTGGGAGGGGGTGGAGCAGCATATAGAGGCGCCCTGGCTGCAGCAAGAAATTGCTCGGGGGCAGCAGCAAAAGTCTCTGTGGCCGCAGCAAGAGTCTCTATGCCATTATGATCTTCTGGGGAGGCGGGGACTGGACTTGGAGGAGCTACAGCAGCAGCAGGAGCTTTCTTCTTCTGCACACTCTTGGCCTTTGGGGCGGCACGCTTCCGCCTGATTTTCATCACTGCAAACAAGAGAATTCAAGTAGTGTGCTTCCCCTTGGTTCCCTAACTCCTCTGCTCATTCACCTGTTACAAAACCAGACAGAAAGCTTGAACTTTTTTAGAAGAAAAAAGAATGAATCTCTCCCTCTGCTAACTCGAACCAAGCTCAATCATCTTTAACGACACAAAGTTAAAAAAATCCCTTTGGGAGAAGTACGTAAAAATGAAGTGGAGCATACACCCACACGGAAAAAGAGGCAGAAATCGAAACCGATAAACAATTGGCATCGAAAGAAAAGAGAAGAAACCGAAAACCAGAATAGAAAGGCGGTACCTTGAGAAAGGAGCTCAGAAAATAAAAAAACGCAGGAACTAGGGTTTCGGGAATTAGGGGGGAATGGGATCCTGGTGGCATTCGGAGAAGCTGGAGGGGGAGGTGTTCCGTAGAAATTTAAGCAGGAGACTGCTGCTGTTGAAGGAAAATCCAGCAGTTGCCATCGCAGTTTTCGTCTCTAAATGTGTCTCCGCTTTGCACCGGCATATTCACCGGTTTGTTGGCGGCCACAGTAGTTAGTGTCGCCATTGTCGTTAGAGAATTGTGATTTAAGTTGGTCGTGCCTACGGTGACATGCATATCACGGTGACTTGCACTTTCCGGTCGATCTCAGTTAGGATTAGGTCGACCTTATTTAGAATTCGGTCGACCTCATATAGGATCTGGTCGACCTCATTTAGGATTCGGTCGACCTAATCTGTTGTTTCAGTGTAAAAACAGTTCATGGTGCCTACTTTGGATATTCATATCATACAATTGGCTAGATGGAAATTGAAGACTAATGACTTGTTTTGAAGCTGGATTGTCCCTCTACATATTGAAGTGGAAGAGAGCTCGATAGGAAGTCCAGAAGACCATTTTTGAACCTCATCAAAAGGCTATGCCAAAACTGGGAAACTGCCTGGAAATGGCTAAGTCTAGCAACGTGTTTGTGAAGCCTATTTTGGAGCTCAATTCGAGAAGCATGAATGCGAGTCGAGTCCAGGAGCCTCTACCACGTTAAATTAGGTATGTTCTTATACAAATTCAAGGCATTGGATGAAAGATTGGATATCTGTAAGGCTTCAAACAAAAGGGTCGAAGTTGCTACGAAGGTTGTTTTTCTGGCAGACTTCGAGCACAAGCAAGCTGCCAGAAAAACAGCCTTCGTAGCAACTTCGAGCCTTTTGTTTGAAGTTTTAAAGATATTCAATCTTTCATCCAAAGCCTTGCCTTTGTATAATAAAATATGTAATTTAACGTGGTAGAGGCCCCTCGACTTGACTTGCATCCATGCTTCTCAAATTGAGCTCCAAACACTACAACAAATTCGGCCTATTAGGACAAAAATTTTATTTTGTCATTTTCTGTTTGTCACAATAGGTACGATGATATGACTAAAATAATATATGTCATATTTGGTTTGCCTAATGTGACAAAAATAAAATTGGTCAGAATAAGTCGTCATTTAAAGTGAGTAATGTGACAAATATTTCGTGTCGCAATTAATTTTGTCAAAATAGGCGTCCCATATCGGGATGTAAGAGACTCAACAGTGACAATTTCCTGTTGTCAGAATATTTCGTCATTTAAAGTGAGTAATGTGACAAATATTTCGTGTCATAGTTAAGTTTGTCAAAATAGGCATCCCATATAGGGATGTAAGAGACACAAAAGTGACAAATTATATCGTCAGAGTAGTGTTTGTCATATTATGTCTTCCTGAATTGTTTAAATGACAAAGTATTTTGTTACAATAGATATCAATAGTCCCACGACGAGCTGACAAAAGGGCATGTTCGTCATAATATAGTTGTTTCGGCTTTGGTCTGTAAATGTTAACATAAAAAGTATATATTCAATTATTTAAAATAAATAAATATCTATATAATATCTGAGATATAATTTAATTCAAGAAATACGGATGTTAAATGTGTTATACAAGTATAATACGTGCTTTATACGACCAGAGGTATATAAGCATCTCTTAAACTCTAGCAAAAAAAACCCTAACCATTTTCCTCTTAACATCTCTGCCGCTCAGCCTCTCACTTCTCTCGATTCATTCTTCATTTTCTCTAGAAAACAAAGCAAACTTCTATCTATTCTTTCCTTCTCTCCTTCTCTTCGATCTATTCTTTCCATCCCCTTTTCAGATCGAGCAAAGATACTTCCCCCCTCTCCATCTCTTCTAAAAAACGATTCAATCTGCCTCTTTGATTTCTCAATCTAACCTAATCTCCCTCCCTTCTCTTTGTCAAAGATGAAACTGAAGAGAGACGAAAGGGCGGCGGTATCGAAGGGCACGACGGCGATGAATGCCGACAAAGATGGCAATGACGACGTCAGTACATTGAAGGTCAATCAACCTCACCTCTCCCTATCGTTCTCTCTACTTGGAAGATCAAACAAAACAAAGAAGAAGAAGAAGAAGAAAAAAAAAAAGGAAATCTGAAACCCTAGCTTTCTCAATCTGTCGCTGCCTCTTTGCGATAAACAAAAATCAAAATCTCCTTTCCCCTCTCTAGATCTAGCTTCGCCTTTTCTTTGTTCTGGTTATGACGCCGATGATACTGGCTACAGAGGTAAGATTAATGCATGTATTTTTTTCCGATACTTGTTGGGGTGTTTTAGGATTCTAATCGTTTTATTTTGCGTTCTGGGTTTTTTGGTGGAGGTTTCATGCGAGGAGAGGAAAGTTGGAAAAGGAATCGTTGGCGACAATACTGGCCAGTAGCAGCGGTGGGTAAAATCGGTCATTCCTCTAGTCCCTTCTCTAGACCACAGACGACGAGCTAGAGCGAGGTTCAAGATCTAAATCCTCGATGACAGCGACCGGGAAGCCAATCCTAACATCCTCGATCTAGTCTTGACCTTATTTGTCTGTGTTCAATAGATTAGAGGTTGTAATGTAATTTGCCATTGCTCTTGTTAATTGTTGTACGAGAGTGGCAGGTTAGACTGCTATGGAAATGGTTGTAATGTTTAGGGTTTTTGGTAATCTTTCCATTATCAGGTTCCAATGCAGAAAACAATTTCGAATTATGAAATTTTTGAAGCACAAAATATATTAATTATAATATTCAACTATGACAAAATAATGTTGTCACAATAAACACTTGTGACAGATGCAGTCGTCACAATATACAGTTATGACAAAATATACTCATGTAATGTGACGAACAATTCACCCCAAATCACCAGATTATGACAATCGTAATGACAAAATATGTCGTCATAACATCTCTGTTTGTCACAATAGATTACCCAAAACCTCAGCTATACTGAAAGCAAATGTGACAACCTTGTTTTAAATTTTTGTCACATTTGACCTATCTTGACGGCGATAAAATGACAAACATTTGTGACAACACCTTTTGTCATATTATACCTAATTTGACAAAATCACTATCTAATATGACAAATTTGCTTCGTCATAATAGGCCGAATTTGTTGTAGTGAAAGTAGGCTTGACAAACACGTTGCCAGACTTAGCCATTTTCAGGCAGTTTCCCAGTTTTGGCATAGCCTTTTGGTCAGGTTCAAACATGGTCTTCTGGACTTTCTATTAAGCTGTCAAGTACTTTAATGTGTAGAGGGACACTTCAGCTTCAAAACAAGCCTTTAATCTCCAATTTCCATCTAGCCAATTGTAAGATATGAATCTCCAAAGTAGGCACCATGAAACTGTTTTTACACTTAAACAACAGATTAGGTCGACCTAATCCTATATGAGGTCGAACGAAAAGTGCATGTCACCATGACATGCATGTCACCGTAGCAAAGTCCCATAAATTATCCTTTGTTTTTTATATTTTAGGGTAAATATAATATATTAGCCACAACTATTATGAAGTGGGGAATTATAGTCACAATTATGAAAATTTAAATTATTATTCATAATTATTGTTGCGGGTCAAGATATGGTTAACTGTCCGTTACTGTTATTGAATTTTTAACGGAGAGAAGAGCACGTCATCTGCCACGGCAGTAGCCACGTCGGACTGCTTTTAATTTATAACTTTAAAATATAAAAGTTTAGTCAATATTACTAACGAAATTGTTAACAGATAGTTAACGTTTGGCTAATAATTTGAATTTCCATAATTGTTACAATTCTCCGCTTCATAATAGTTGTGGCTAATATATTGTATTTACCCTATATTTTAAATATAGTGGACCATTTAGAAACAAATTAATTACAAATTCCTTTCTATTATTTCCATATGAACTACTAAAGTACTTATTAGAAAGCTTGAATGCATTTCCTATCAAATTCCCTGTTTGAAACATCACACCTGAATCTTCGTAGTTATTCATTTGATTAATCCTAATAGTTAAGAATTTTTCGTCTCATATCTATCTAATACATAATATTATGGCAATTCAAAAGTAGTTTGTTGGCACATAAGCATTTGGAGAATTTACAAGGTGTCATGGTGGACATTTTTTTTACAAACAAAAAAGTTAATTAATGATCAATTAGTGTAGCTATATCTATCTTCTTTAAATATTTTTCTTTTATTTTAATGATCATTTATGTAGCTATCTCTATCTTCTTTTAATTTTTTCTTTTTTTATTCAATAATATTTTTGCAATATATATGTGTAACAGCAGTATACTTACGTTTGGAGAGTGACATATATTGTAATTTTAAAAAAAATATATATTTGATTAAATATGATCAATTAATTTATATTTTTATTAGAACTTAATATAGTGAAGTTTAGATAATCAACATTTAATAATCAATTGAATTTGAAAAACCAACTATATAATTTTATGTTTTTGGTTATCAAACACTATCTTTTTCTAATATTTGTATCTATCAACAAAAACAAGTATTAAATAGCAAAATACTTCAAAAGTTTTTTTTCCATTTTAAAAGAAACATGACGAAGCCATAATGTAGTACCTGATTGTACAAATGAAGGCAATAAAGAAATACAACTTTTCTTCTCTCTTATAATGCATGTTTCCATACCTTATTTTCTCTTACATTTGTTCATATTTCCCCTTATTTTTCTGAACAGTTTACATATTTCGGTCAAACAAAGGTGTTAATTACACTTAAAATATATTAAACTCTTTATATTTGTATATGTATATTATGACATACCTTGAGTAAGAAAACGATATATAGACCTTGAATTGACTAGAGTATGACATATGGTATTATTCTCAAAGCCTTAAAGATTAAAATCTAGGTCTTAAATTTATAAATCTCATACACTAAGATAAGTTTAATTATAAACAAAAATCAACGGTCATGATTCGGAAAAAAATATATGCAACAAATTACCTTCACAATCTTAGGGGTTAAGCTCTATGATTTAGATAACTAAGACCTCGGGTTCACTTATCAAGGGTTAGGGTATAGTATCATGCCCACAAATCAGGTTAATTCGTGATTCTGATAGCGTTTTCTTACTTAGAGTATAGTATCATGCTTAGATATTGATTAGGGATGTGGCACTGCACCAATAAAATGAAGATATTATTAGTATAAGTAATGGAATTTTTATCCCAAAACAAACACCAAAGATATATAAATTTTAGCAAATGCATATTTGATAAGTTAGAAAATTATACACTAATGGACCATGTTAAGATTAGAACCCTCGACAGTGTGTGAGTCTCTTGGACAGAGATTCTAAACCAACATCTAAACAACGACCATGAGTTGAGGGTGAGTCAAAAATTAAACTTTATGTATTAACAATTGATACATATTGTATAAGATATTAAATTGAGTGTCTTGATCGACAAATATGATCATAAACTAAGATAGTAAACTTTCAATTGGGATGACCAAATTTATCTGATATTGAAGTACCTTTATAAAAAAATTCTAACTAAGTTGTCGTCATCTGAGCAACATCATTGGTTAAGAGTTCGTCCAAACTCGAGATTCATTGAATGACATATATTGTACAAGATAAAAAAAAAAGTTGAGTATCGTTGTTGGCAAATCTTGACATAAGATTCTATATGGGACGTGATATATCTTTGTGACATGATTTATGATCAGATAATCGAAACATCATAAGTGAATGTGCTAAGTATTGAGAATTTTTAATTTATAGACGCACTGCATACTCACATATGAATGCAAATATAACAAATTTTGAAGATCCAAAATAATTTAAACATATAAATAAATTGATTAATGTAAATGATAAAATGAAACTCACCGGCCAACGGGCCGGATAAAAAGCTAGTTTGTAATAGATTGAATTCTATAATAATGTTAGGAACATATTAAAAGTTGAATTAAATTGATTTCTTCTAGATTAACTCTTTTGAATTATCTACACGTAGTTATGTGTGTGTTGCGCAATATGCTAATAGCACATTCTTTCTTGTCACTTCAACAAATGTCATTTTTTATGCGAGACAATATCCGTCAAATCAGACATCGTGTAACTGACAAGTTCTCCTTGCAAACTCCATTAAACATATTAATCAAAGAGAGTTAAAAACGAATAAATTGTATATTGATGATCATTATAAGAACAATTTGATGAATAAAAAATTAATCAATTGATTGAAATTTTAAATAATATCTATCATATTAAACAAATATCCCCTATTAGCTGGTGTTGGGAAATTTTATACGATATACTGATAATTAATGTACACTAAACCAAATTAAAGATTTGTAAGTGTAACCACTGACCAACATAACCTAATGGGGTGGATTAAGTATTATACGCTAAAAGAAAAAAACATCCCTCAAGTAGCGTCACTATTGTGGTCGTCGCTATAGTCCATTAACGTAAGTTCGTCTACGGTCTATTCGGGAATATGGATATAGGAAGAATGCCAAAACCAAATACTTTAAAAGTTAAAAATACACGGAATGTCTTCCCGTGTTCTTCCTGCACTGATTGTTCAAATCCCACTTAGCAGCAGAGACCATTGACCAGTGTTTGACAATAATAAGTTCTAAAGCCGCCTCCTCTTCCACCACCCATAAATTATTGCATCACACATAACTAAGTAAAGCTCGAGCTCGCCACAAACTTTGCTCGATGAGCAAGCAGCAACAAGCGAAAAACGTACTTAAGCAAACTACAACAATCAGGACTATGCTGGTAACTAAAAGTTACTACGCGGATTGATGGAGACGAGTGCACGACGACTTGACTGGTGTTTCCAACCTTGTTTACATTTCCCAAACCCTCGGGAGATTCCACTGAGCCTAGCAACAATACAAGATATAGTCAGTCAAACAGATAGTGGAGAGTGCAGCAGCATTACACAGAAGCTGGTACTCAGTACTGGCTCCTTCTAGAGTTTGCCCGGCGGTCAACTACCTGCATCGCAAAACCATTTCGAAACTAAGGAAGAAGCACATCAACAATAGTGGTAGCAGCAGGAGATGGCTTGCATGCTATTGAAATTATATGATGCTTCAGAGAGAGCAGACACATCCATGCAGTTCAACTAGTAAGATTCACAAGAAAATAAACTATATAGAAGAGAAAGTCGGAAGTAGAAACTCAGGAGCAAGAAGTTATGACCTGATCTGCTCGAACTCCAAGACTTGATGATGACGATGGTTCTTCTGCCTGATCGACCTACCAACAAAACAATGACACGCCATGTTGTGAGTAAAGCCCACAAAAGACTATTGGTGAAACCAAACAAAGTTGAATTTACCTGGTTCAAGTGATTGGATCTTGATTGCACAGGTACCCCCATCTTCTGAAGCATAAGCTCCATGTTTGAGTTCATCCTGTCAATCTGTGCTTCCATTGAGGTATACTTTTGCTCCATTACCTCGACTTTACTGCAAACTGCCTCAACTTTATTGAAAATCTTGTTTGCCTCCTCATCAGCTTGCTTTTTGGTTTCCATGGCCATTTTTGCAAACTGGATATGGCCACACTTTCGTCCCCAAAGAGTAGCAGGGCTAGGTCCTCCTAGACCATACATGCTCACATTCTTTTTATTTTCTTCGCCTGTAACTTTGAAGAAAGTGTCATGCGAACTATCACTGACATCGGAATTTTGCTGCCTCTGAGTAGTTTTTTCTTGCAATTTTTCCTGAGACAAAGGAAAATACCTAGTCTTCATCTGTAGCTCATAATTATAACCACTGAGTTATTTAGTGAGTGACATTCAGAACATACAAATACTTCTGCAGCATCCTCATTCACAGGATTTCCATCCTTTCGTGTATGGGTCAGCACAAACAACTCTGCTCTAGTAGGAGTCTTCCCATCGGCCCTTTTTGCACGCTGCTCACAAAATGCACAAAAAGAAATAACACAAACCATTAGCATTTGAACAAATACTAACTGCATGAGGTGTGCAATTTAATTTCAGCGACATACCTCTTCCTCTCGTATGGTTGCGTAACTCTTTGAGCCGGAGGTGTGTGAATGTTTTACATGAGCACGATTTGCCCTATTCCTAGCACAAAGCAACTATAAAAAGAAACATCATATCAGCCTCAAACTTACAAAAAGAAATAATTACGTTGGACCTTATTTTTTTCCTACCCAAATGACATACCTTCACCTCTTCCTTGTTCCAATAGGATACGAGGCCTGGCCACTGATCTGGAATGACTCTTTTGTCGAGATTCCTCATGCGCTCCTCCTCAGTCTTGCATGAGAAATAATATGTCTTCAACCTTGATTTCCAGCTCGTCCATTTTGAAAAAAGAGACTTCATGACCCAAGATTTTGCCATGGGATCAATCTCGAACTTAGCCTTCAAAAGACAAAGAAAAGGATCAATTGAAAGACAATGAATCAAAGGTCACAGATATTGTACGCCTTCAGATATACTACTCTCCTTTCTTTGTCAATAGATAACCTGGCTTCAAACCAGTTACCTGAACCAACTGCCACATGCTTTCTTTGTTTGCTTTTGGCAATGCAGTCCACTTTCCATAGTTAAGGGGAGCCAAGGTACCATCCCGTGCCAGGGTGCCCAAAAATGAAGCCAGCTTTCTTCCTTCAGAGCCAATTGGTTGTCCCAAATCATTAAGTTGAACAACCATTTTGCTACCATCAGGCATGTCCCACACAAAACGACACCGGGACGGGCCTCGTACTCGCTTCTTTGAGCTACGAATGGGCGCTACTGGACTGTCTAGGCTGCTGTAATTTCCAGAATGCTCCTGCTGTGCTTGATTATGAAAGGAGGGGGTCGCAGTTCCCATCTGATAACCATCCCATTCCACTTGTCTCTCACCCCTCAAGCCATTCTCGCCTGACAAGCATGAGTTGATTACTTAAACAAGTGAAAAAAGGTTTGTAGAAACTTAAGACTGAAAGACAAGCACACAAGATCGTTAGAAATTTCATAACATGGCACAGCTGTTTCAAACTCTTTAGACTATCCAATTGAGATAAAATGATAAACTACATACAGCTTAACAAATGCCCATATAAGTTATCTGCAAAAGGTGTACCTGAAGTACACTACAGAAGACAATGGTAAAGGACGATAGGTAAGAAAGGAACAAAAGAAAAGCAGTGTTAGAACAACAAGATCTCAGAACTACATGACACCCAATTATTATGGAGCGGCAAATATTGGTAAATACCAATCATCATGATTATATCACAAACTGAATGAACAGTACCCCATCTGGGCAGCACATCACAAGAATCAAACAAGAAAGAAATTCATGATATTATAAACTGATTAAAACAGCTAAACGGGGGTCTATCTAGGGATTGGCTGAGCTGAACAAGTGAAACAGGAGCTGAACTCAGCAAAGTTAATGCGTAGCAAACAGCATGAGAAGCATACCTCCAGCATGTGAAGCTGTAGCAAACTGCTCAGAGTATTGTGGCTGTGCAATGCTTCCCGCATGTATCTGAGATACATGTCGCTGGCTTTGACTCGCTGGAGGTGGTTGTGGTTGAACTTGACTCTGGCTGATAACTGTGGGGTTAACTGCATCTGTAGACAGAAAGCCATTTTGCCCCAAATTACTGCTAGCGAACGGCCCATCTGGAGGTCCTATGTAGAAAAGGTAACAGAACTCCTTGTAAGTGCATAATGCAACATCAGCATTACAGCTCCAGCATCATAAGAACCTGAAGAGTTTATATTCACATACTTGCCCCATCATTCTCTTGAACAAGAGACCGAGCTGGTTGTTGCTGACTAACACTTTGCCCACGACGTCGCAGGTAATATGTGCTTGAATTTGGCTGATGCTTGGAATGGCTGGACTTAGTCATCTTGGGAGTCCGGGTTGCATCTTTTGTTTGCTTCCTAGCAGAGTCCGGTGAGGGGGCATATGAACGTCCTGCAAGAAAAATAGCCATCACATAGTAGACCGCTTAGATCATTCATATCAATGCAATACATTTACAATTTCATATGTGACCCCTATTGTTGCCTCAACAACAACTTTATAGTAATCACATCACTTCCAAAAATTGGATACCATTTCACATAAATACAATTCATTTGCAAATACAATTAATGGGGACTTCGGAATCGTTTGGATGTTGGATCTTTTAAATCTATCCCTCCTACATATAGTTTTCCTCGTCATGTTTTATTAATGAAAAATTAATATACCCACAGAAAATGGAAATTGATAAGTAATGGTGAGGTTATCAAGCTCATTTTACCTTTTACCTTTAAATCTATCCCTCCTACATATAGTTTTCCCCATTTTACCTTTAATATAGTTTTCCGTCACTTTTAAATCTCATCCATACAGTCCCTACATGTTTTCTCAATACAACTACATCCATACAGTTTGTATAAATCAAATCAGAAAAAAGAAATCAAAATTATATGTGGCATTACAAAGCACATCACCGCTTTGCAATAGCGACCACATTCATGCAATTGCAAATTAATTGCCAAGTGGACTTTGCAATCAAATTGTAATTGCCAATGCGGGTGCTCTAAAGAACGAGCTGACAAGAGGAACAATATTATTTAAAAAAAAGTGTAATCATGAGCCCTTAGGGCCTCCCACATGGAGATGAGTAGATGAACCAAACTATGAAAAGACTCGACATAAGTCAACAGGTTCGGACTTGGAACGGTTATCTTCTCACTATTTTGCAGTTCGATAATATGGTAGAGCAATTTGTAACTGGTTGCTCTCGATCTTCACAGATCACCGACAAGCAAAGATAAGATAATTAACAATTAAATAATTCAATAACTTGTAAAACTAGATACCTGCATCATTTGCATTGATTCTAGACTGCAACTGTGGCGAATCATTGATGGTAGGCTGCAGTGGAGGAACCTTGGCCTTGTTACTGTAGCTTGATGGGAGCACCTGATCCTTGTAATTATAGCTTGATGGATGCACCTGAGCCTGGTGACTGTAGCTTGATGGATGCACCTGAGCCTGGTGACTGTAGCTTGATGGGGTGACCGGAGCTGTATGCTTCTGAGTCGGGTTATCAACAAGATTCGCTGCACAACTAGCCTCGCAACTGGTGCGTCCCATCCTGTGATTGATACAAGGTGGAAATTCAGGTTGCCCTACACAATTTCATTGAATATAAGCAATACTTTCAACATTAGCACCAAGATTATGCAATTAAACAACTAAAAAACAGCAAGGCATCATGGATTTTATGCACTCCAAAGCCATGAATTCGACAAATCATGAAAAATATAAAACCAGAGAAAGAAGAATGGTTGGTTATTCTGCGGCCAAGACCGTTTCCATGAACATGACACGAATTCAAAAGACTGTCAGCATAAACTGATTATCAGAGACACCAAAGACACTAAGAAAAACTTCAACATAGTGAAAATATACCTGTAGTCTCTTGCATTTCAGTACGCAAGCCAGCTGCTGTCCAGTATTTCAGAAACTTCTTCTTCACTCTCTTCATAAGGTATACAATATAATCACCTTTCTTGTTATACTTCAAACAATGCGCCCAAATGCACTCCACGTCCTTGTATACGTCATCAGCATTTAGGTACTTGAAACCATTCTGAAGATTGCTGCATATTGTTCCAAAATCCATAGGTGCATCTCTAGCATCCATACGATTCTGCACATGATCACAAAAAATCCATCTCAAACCACTATATAGATGTAGGAGAAGTAAAAAAATATATTTACATCATTAATTAAGAACAATAGCATCGTGCTGCAGTAACATCAGTTGAAAATCATATTAAAGCGCTCACTTGGCTGAGTTAGACCGAAAGTTTCAATCTTGAAAATTTGTATTAATTTCTGAATGCCAAGTCAAGAACAAAATATGTAATAGCAACAACTACCGCATGCGCCTGCTTAAAACAACCCTGACATACATTCTTCTTGTCTAAAACATGAACGAACATTATGAAGAAAACAATAATCTTAGTTATCATATTGTTGTTTACTTTGGCTCATCTACTCATCCACCTTTGAAAGGTTTTAAAGAATATGTTTGCTGGTCATTTGACTTACAAAAGACAACAGTACCAAAATTCTATAGACACTGCTAAGTAGTTTAAAATATGCAGCTACTCATTCAAGGCATCGAGATCTTGAATGCAGGCAATACAGCAAGTGGACATAAGCATTCGTGATGGATTATCTAATTTCACATTGCCCTTAAAATGCAAAAAGAGAACTGTTCATACTTACAGGAACAGGATCTACAGGAGCGCTGAATGATGCAGCTTCATCCATATCCATTATCTTCTTAATGATCTTAAAACCACACAAAAGAAAACAAAAAAGGAACATCAGCAAGTCAAGTGAACATATAATGAATCAACTAATCATACATCTAAGAAAAGAAAACATCGGCAGAGAAACTAGTCATAAACATACTGCAAAGGAAGTTTTTAGTTCTGTCTCATTGTATCGGGGATCCAGGCATGACTTCTTTGATCTCTTTTCTTTACTGCTCCAAGGATGCAACCCACTCAATGAGGTAGCCTGCAAATTGCTAACACTCTTTGTGGCATCCCCTTCTCTAGGCCGACCACGCTTGCGCCCTGATTTATCACCACCCCACCAGTCAGTTCCTGGAACGTCGAAGCCACTAATATTATCTTCAACATGGAATGAGTCACCTCCACTTGATGAAGAAGAAGACGAATAAAAGCGAGGGCCAGAACCCATTCCACGGAGCCCGAGATCCTTAGATTTGTCCAGCCCTAGGTTTTCTTGAGCAATCTGGCCGACAAGGTTCAAGAATGCCTGCTTATTGGCATTAAGTGCGGCAGCTGCAGTCAAAGGGGCTGAAGCAGCAGATAGATTTGCTGTGGCAGTAGCAACAAATGGCTGTGTGGCAATATGATGCTTGGGGGAGGCGGCAGTTGGAGGAGCAGCAGCAGAAGAAGCTCCCTTCTGTACATTCTTCTTTGGGCGTCCAGCCCTCCGCTTGGTTCTCATTACTATGACCAAGAGAACTCAATCAGTGGGCTTCTTCTAAGGGTTCTTTGCTGCTTAACCTGTCATCAAACATTCTCCGAGTTAGGTTGCACCTCGGTTACTAAGAATTTCTTACTAGAAAAGTTAAACCCATGTCCTGCTGCCCTGAACAAACAACTAAATAAGTAACTCAGTCTTCAGCCTTCGATTCTAGTGTTCCTAGCGACATACAGAAAGCTCAAACACCAGAACTACAGCTCACCCTTTGATATCTCGAGCCGTCGAAAAGATAAACGAATCACATCAAAGCGAAAGCAAGAAGCTCAAAACCAGAAAAGGGGGGGAAGGAGGAACCTTGAGTAGGGAGCTTAGAAGCCCAAACAACGCCGGAACTAGGGTTTCGAGAATTGGAGGAATGGGATCTACGGCCGCAAGCAAAAAAGTAGAAGGGTGTTCATTGGGAAGTTAGGGCGGGAAATCGTGTGGTGGTGGTGGTGAAGTTGGGAAGTGAGTGGCAAATTTGGGGAATCCCGTCGCAATTTCTTTTTTTTTTTTCGAAGTTGGTCTCCACTTTGCATTGGCATCACTCTCGCTCAGAGTTTAACGTATTCATCGCTAATTTTATGGCATCAGGAGGATTTTCTTTTGTCACCAAAATATACTATACGGTTATTAAATAGAAGTAATTCTACTATGCTATATAACATTGGTGCTTTAATGTACAATTTAAAGTTGTACCATAACATTAAACTAGCTTATAACCCGGCTCTTTGGCCGGAATGCTCATATTTGATTATTTGTATTTTTATGTTACTTTTAAGTCTATTAATCCGTTTAATCTTATTGATAATCATTCGATCGAAGATGATACATAAAGAAATAATATATAGGTCGAACATTCGGAGAAATATCATAATCATTTAAGAATATAAAATATAAAAATGTATCATTGACCCCATTTTCATAATGCTAATTAAGTCCCTGTTAAAATGCTATTGGTTAGTTTTCTTTGACAGTCAAGAAATATAGAGTATAAAAGCTCACTGAAATTCTCACACAACCCATAGATAGTTTGAAACTAAATCTTAAACCTCACAATCCTATATAAAGGGTTCAATGCTCTCCTTTTAGAAACAATATGTCACTAATCAAAAAGAAATAAAGAGTTGTTGATTCAAGTCATCTATATACTAAAAACTCAGCTAAGAGGGGACCATCACAACTTGAGAGCAAACGAAAAAATCAGGGTTATCTCCAATATACGAATAGACTCGATCAAAGTAATAAGGCGCAAAATTAGACACTCCTTATCTATTAGTTCTAGTAGGTTGAATAAAGAAGCGACCTATTTCAAACAATCAATCAATGATTCCTTGTTTTAAGATAGAAATAAGTTATGACAGTTGCAAAAACCATAAACCTAAAGATCCAATAGCCACCACTCTCCGTTGTACAACCAAATTTCTATCTCAAGTGGCATATATTCAACCAAAAATTCAATTTCTAATCTTCCTTCTACAACTTCAGTTATTGATGAACTCCATTCTATTCGCCATGAATTGATATCGGAGTTGAAATCTTCTATTCGCCCAGCTTAAAATCCCCAACAATAAAACCGTAGTGCCAAGAGATACCTGAAGATTGATTTTCAATGACAGTCCTGTACTGGGAAGTGAAAGGCGCAAACTATTGCACGATGGATGAAATTTCGGAGGAAGTTAGAAAGAGAAAAGAACAAAGATAAAAAAACACAAAATTTAAATTGAAAAATGCAAGGATACAACAGTAGTTACATAATTAGTTTCTTCCATGTTGGCCAATTACCCATTTACCTTTAGCAAAAATTAAGGAGAGAGCGAGAATTTAAAATTGGGAAAATTACATGAAACTCTACTATGAAAATAGAAGTATCAAGCTCGATAAAAATACATACGATACTTACTGAGCTTGCTAATTATGATGAAAAAGTCCTCTGATTTTCAGAGATTAACTTTGTCTATTTTTTGTATAAAAATGGATGCATTAAATTTGTTTAGTGTAACTGGTTGTGATTGTTATCTTTGTTTGAAGAGACTCGGGTTCAAATCTTGATATTGCTATTTTTATATGAAATAAATAATAAATGTGTAAAGACAAAAATGACCTTCCTACTTTCACTCTCGTTGCAGGAAATTTGAAATGGAGAAAAATACACAAAACTCTACCATATATTAATGGAGGAAGGATGTATAAGTTTAGGTTGTACCATAAAACAATTTGTATCATTATGTTATGGTACAACTTTACAACTTGAAGTTGTACCATCACATAAAGGTACAAGTTTAAGTTGTACCATAAAAGAATTTGTACAAAAATTATAGGTACAATCTAAAGTTGTACCATAACGTAAATGTACAATTTTAAGTTGTACCATAAATGCAAAAACCTATAGCACCAATACTATATAGCATTATAAAATTTCTCATTAAATAGAGATTATCTTATATGTTAAATATCATATAATGATAATAATTAGGGCTTAATAGATTATAGATCTGAATCTCGATAGAGTAAATTATTCACCGCTTCCTCTCGCTCCAACCCGTCAGAACTTTGGTCATGAAACTCAACCCTCTCGCTCATACCCATAGGCGGAGGCAGGCCTTTTGGGCCTTATCACGGGACAGGGGTATATTTCGCAAAAAAAAAATACTCCATATATATTTATATGGATGATGGAACACAACACTTATAAGTGGTACGCGAGTATATTGTTACTTCAACACAATTCATTACTTGTTCATTAGTTGACATAAAATTAATTTATTATACTATAAAGGAAATTCTAATTGCAATAAAGACCTATTCTAATCTCTTTTCTACTTATATCTATTCGTTTTTTTTAACAATCCTGAAAGTGGCAATTCCACTAGTTTTGATTCTACAAATTGCAACTGCAAGTGTAGAAAGAGCATTTTCAGTTTTGGGGTATATTAAGAACAAGTTTCCCAGTCAAATTGACAATCAGTTTGCTAATGATTGTTTAGTGGAATACATTCAAAGAGACTTACTTAATAGTGTCGACAACTAATGTTTATGCGTCTCCACGTACATTAAAACCATTTTAATTAGCCAGCAAGCCACGAACTTCCTCAAGAATGGCTCCAAAGTGATTATCCTGTGCACCAGTCTAGTTAATCTTATCGATGACCACATTCATGTCTCCTTCAAACTGAATCTGCGAGAGACCACAATCCAAACACCGTTGGATGGCCCCGCGGAGCACTATAAGTTCTATAGTAGGTGGGTCATCAATATAATCAATATGTACGCCCCTCGAGCCAAGATAATCGAGCCATTATGGTCTTTGATAAATATTCCCCATGTCGAGTGTTTTCTCTTCTTGTTGCATCATCAAAGAAATAACACGGAATTTGGTGATGATATTGCCTCATCAAAGAAATAACACAGAATTTTTCCCTTAAAAAACAACCCAATTCCTGAATTTCCAAATCCAACAAAGGCCCGCAACGATAGCCATACTCTGATGGGATTGACTAAATAGTAACATAAGCTTTTTGAGGAAGAGGGGGAAGTTTTGGCGAGGGAGCCCTTGCCTAGATGTTCCAGGCCACTGTAATGAAAGAAATCAGAAGATCTTAATCTTCATTTTCACCTTATTGTCATAGCGTGTTTTTTAAGTTGACAACCATTATCCCAATCTTCGTCAATAAAGGTTCATGTATTCGTCATATTGCATCGGTGTCTTTATTATGTTTCCTTGTAGTGCTACGCGGTGTGCGTGGTGTTTAGTTTTGACTTTTGAAGGTTGATTTCTATAGTGTTGGGTAGAGGGGACTCACAACCATGGTACTCAGAGTTGCACACCAATCGCAGTTTCTAACTAAGACTCATGGGCTCATTTAAGTCCATTTTTTGTGGATCTTTGTTGCTTCTCATAGTGGGAGATAGCACATGCACACAAAGCGATGTTTTGGTATTCTATGATGGCTCCATGAGTCACAAAGGTGGATTGTGGTGGGTTCCCATTTAGTTTCAAAAAGTCATTTGATCGACAACTTGATTATTGATCGACCACGTTTGGTTGATGCATTCCTTATGACTATGTGTACTTATTTCCTTATTGAATTTGAAGTATATCGAAGTACATCTAATAGGTGTGAACGTGGACGTATATTATATGTCTGGTGTATCATGTATCTTAACCTTACAATATGTCTTGGGAGCCTTGCTATTTAACCATGAATTATCCAAATTTTGGGGCATGATTTTATACAGTATACTCGGGTCGGATCAGGTCACAACCCCTAAGGGGTTGTGAATTTCACTACCAAAGGCAATTTGGGTAGTCAAAAAAGAATATTATTAATTAATTTCCTTTTTGTAATAATTACATTTTGAGAATTTAAAACTCATATTAAATACATTGCTTTATTTTAAAATTTAAATCCTACCATAAATACATTTATCTCTCTTTCTATATCTCTCTCTTTCTTTTTCAGCAACCACTCCACTCCGACCAACTGACTTTCTCTGGTAAAATCCATCAAGCATGCTCGCTATACGGCCACCTTCAAAAACGCACCACTCCATCAGTGCGCTAGTGGTAGTGATTTTTGTCTAGTGGTACGCTACCACTACCACTGGTAGGGCTACCAGATCGAGTGGTACACTAGCACTACCACTGGTAGCACTGCTAATGAGTGGTAGTAGGGCTGATAATCGATTTGGTTGCAGTTAAACTGAACCGCCAGATCGATTAACCGCCACCAAAGTAGTGTCCAAAAACCCCAACCGCAACCGACACCAAGAATGCTTACGGTTAACCGCCACCGCAACCTCAAGTTTGCGGTGCGGTTTGTTGGCAATTCACAATCGACGTTAATGTATAAAAAAATAAGTAGATGAGGAGTTTTTCCTCACTTTCTCTTCCCAAAATATACCCCCACTCTCGTATCTCTCTTTCTCTCTCAAATTTCCAGAAAATCAAAAGATCACCTAATCTAAAACGGATACAATACTTTGAATTACTTGTAAGATTGGGCTTTTACTTATGGGATTGAGTTTGTAATTGCACTTGAATTATCGGCTCGCATGCAATCCTCGGCTGCTCATCGTTGAAGGCAGGGGAGATGCACGGAGGAAGATCAGAACTTTGCTCACTCTTCCTACTACCGATGGCAAAGGAATGAGGACAAGGACGTAGATATTGCCGACTACGAGTTCGTTCATCATCCTCGACGACGCCCAAATATTGTTGACTGCTAGTCCAGCGATCTTGAACAACTTTGCCAGGGAGAAACTGGGATCTACGGCTGTTTACTAGGGTCAAAGAATGATGCGATGGAGAAGGGAATTGAGAAACGAAGTAAGGGGAGAGAGCGGCGAGTTTGCGAAAGAGAGAGGTCTGGTGGTGCGACAAGCCGACTCTTCGATGGCAGAAAGACGCTCCGACTATATGACGGAGGAAAGATGAGCCGACCACATCTGGACGATGAAGAGGTTGTGATGAGGACAAGGATTTGTTGCTATAGGGCGACACCGAGTTTGAGTTTGGGAGAATTCAATGGATGGATTTGCCCATTTGGGGATTATGGTTTTAATTTGAAGGAGGAGGGAGGAGGCAATAGGGTTCAAATTTGGGGGATGAGGTAGGAGGGGATGGAGCACGGTTAGTGCGGGGCAATGATAAGGGATCGGTTGTTCACTGACTACTGTGCGGCCAGCCGCTGCTCTGAATTTCTCCAACCACAGGCTTTTATCGGTTTTCAGTTAGTCGAATGACCACAATTTACGGTTCGGTTTTGCTATTATCCGACTAACCGACAAGCGTTTAACAACCCTAAGTGGTAGCGTACCAATCCATCTTATGCACTACTAGATGAAAATCACTACCACTAGAGACTAACACACACAAAAAACCCAGATATGGAATCTGGAAAATCATAGATCTGGAAAAAATTAGGGGATGAGGAAAGTGGGCGGTAAGGGGAGAGGCGGTGACCTCGCGGCTTCACGACAGAGGGAGGTGGTTGCACTGGTAGGAGGATGGGATGGTGGTGGCGACAACACGATGAGAGGAGGAAGGGGTGGCTGATCGTGGTGGTGGTCGGTGTCAGCGATGTCGACCTCATGGTGGTGACGGCAAGCAGCGACAAGGAGAGATGAAGTAGGAGACAAAGACGGCAGAGAGCGAAGGGCGCAGCAGGGGGCGGAGGGCGCTTGAGAGGCGGAGGGCACGATAGAGGAAGGGGGTGAAGTGGTGGCAACCACAACGTCCAAGGGAGAGAGGGAGGATGGGAAGAGGGACGTGAACACCGGTGGAGGGCATATGATTATATTAGGGGTATTTTATTTGTATGGGAGGGAGAATGATTGAGTATGGTATATTTTTTTCCTTTCAAAAATACCTTTCGTTTAATCTTAACTATCAATTTGAAAAAGACAAGAGAGAGAGAATTCATCTAATGGCTACAAAGTAGGTTGTGACCGTATCCCACCCCTACTATACTCTAACCTTGAATGGGTAAACTTCAGATCATAGTTCTCTAAACCCAAAAATAATTAATGGTTTTGATTCGTGAAGTATATTAAAGTGCATCTAATATGTGTGAACGTCGGCCTACCTACATATATATGGCTTCTTAGGTGCAGTCAACAAAATGAGGTTGTTGAATACACCCAACTCTAAAAGTAGCATAAAACGTCAAATATGGATTTTAATTGGTAGTATTAGTTTGACATGATGATACAACATTTGATCATAATTCACAACTAATCAATCTATTACACTAACCCTTAAACCTTTAATTTTGAACACAAACCCAAAATCCCAAATTGTCAACCCTAAACCCTAACTCTAAATCCCCAAATCCTAAAACCTTCATATCAAAGTAAATCTTGAATGATTTTTTGTTTAAATTCATGCATTTTCTTGTCCATCATATCACAAGTCACAGTTGAAATGACGATTATGAGGCAAATGCTTTGAAGACACCACCAAAGTAAGTGCACTGAAGACAAAATCTTATATATATGCGTGGTCCTATCGTACCTTGGATAAAATCAAATATATAGCATACCTTGAGTTAACAAATTATATACCAAATGTTGGCAAATCCTTGGTAGAGCTTATTTATGATTTCGTGTTGAACCCTATAAACGAACAAATAGGTTTTATACCTTGAATTGACTGGTGTTTGACATCTGGTATTATTCCCAAACCCATAATGATTAAAATCTAACTCGTAATTCTATAAATCTCATAAAAATGCCTAGCCAACAACATTAAGCTATTTGGGTGTCTCTCTCTACTTTTCTCTCTGTGCTCGATCGAATTGACGATGGCTGCCGTCGCCGATGGTGCCTCGATGGGGGCCGTTGGTGGCGGCCGCTCGTGGGCTTCTTTGTTCGGAGTACCGGAAGAAGGTCGATTGCAATATTTTTAACCATAATTTGTGAATGGTTCCCTCAGGATCCCAAAATCTGTGATTGATGAGGGTGCAACGATGGAGGAATAGTCTGCTGGGACAGTTTCTGGGCAAGGCGCCGTTGCTGGGGGTTCTCCGTTCATGGGCTAACTGGATCTGGGGTCGCAAGGGAGAGGTGTGTGTCTCACGGTTTGGTGATCATCTCTTTATTTTTCAATTTCCATCGGAGGAGGTGTATAGCTGGGTTTTCGAAGGCGGGCCTTGGCACTGCCAGGATATCATGTTATGCTTGCGTCGATGGGAGCTGGGAATCCAACCTCTCAAGATCGACAATTCTGCAGTTCCGGTCTGAGTTTGCCTTACTGGTGTCCCAGCTGAGCTGGGCTCGAGGGAAGGATTGGGGAGATTGGCTAGTGTTCTGGATAAGCCTCTATGCTCTGATTTACCTACGAGAAAAGGGGATAGGGTTGGTACATCTTTTGTTTGCGTGGAATTGCCTGCTACTTCTCCTCTAGTTGATCAAATTAGTTTTACTCCAGTTGGGTCTGAGAAGATGTTTGTGTCTGTTGAGTATAGACGACTCCCATTAATCTACAAATCCTGTTAGAAATTTGGGCATGATTGTTCTAAGTCTATAGGAGGTAAAACAAAGCAAATTTGGCGAGTTAAGGAGAAGAAAACAGTTGCATTAGAGCCTGTTGGGGGTTCTGGAAAGGATAAGGAAATAATGCTGGTGATTAATCAGGTTGCTAATGAGTCTGCTATGGAAGTTGGAGCAAGTTCTAGCGTAGTGGGGATAGAGACTCCTCCTGTTACCCCAAGTGCATTTCCATCTGAAGAAGCGTTTAGCAGAGTAGTGAATGGGGTTAAGCCTCGTGAGGTGCAAGCTTCATCTCCACCGCGATTGGAAAACTCTTTTGCAGCTATTTGCGCTAGACCACCAGTGATAATTAAACCAGTGCATGCAAGGGTTGGACGCGAGGGTTTGCGAAGTGGAAAGGGGGTTGCCTTGGCAGCTCACCTTACGAAATGAGTATCCTTGTATGGAATGCAAGGGGCTTTAATGGCCCCTTGAAACATGATTGCCTACTTGGCTATTTGCGTAGGCATCATGTCCAGTTATTTGTAGTAGTAAAAACTAGAGTACAGAAGATAAATGCTCAAGCGATTCGAGATAAGTTTGAGGGGTTCCAGTTTCTTGACAATTACAACAAGAATTCTCTAGGACGAATTTGGGTAGCTTGGCGTGATGAGGTGAAGATCAGTATGTTGGAAGAGGATGAATTCTTTATACATATGTTAGTTTCAATTGCAAACCGGGATCAGTTCTTTTTTACAGTGGTTTATGGGTCAAATGAGGAAAGGCAGAGGGAGTGTATGTATGGCAGATTGAGACTTAAAAGGGTGCAGGGATTCCCATGGCTGGTTAGTGGCGATTTTAATGCATTTTTTCATCCAAATGAAGCAGTTCCTACTACTCCTATTTCATCAAGCATGACTGCTTTCCGAGATTGGATAACTGATATGGAACTTTTGGATCATAAGACTATAGGCCCCTTTCTTACATGGTCAAACAGACAGCAAGGGAGGTCAATAGCAAGGAAGCTTGATCGTGTATTAATAAATGAAGATTGGTTAACTCGGTATTCGAATTGTGTTGTGGAGTTCATTCCTCCAGATTTTTCGGACCAATGTGGCATGTTAATTAAACCTACAATGCCTAAGAAGTCCTATCCTAAACCATTTCGGTTCTTTGATATATGGATTGAACATGAAGCGTACTCAGAGATTATGGAGAAAGTTTGGAATAAGCCAGAAGATAAATGGGTACTAGCGAGGGTTAAAAGGAAGCTCAAGCAATCGAAAGGAGAACTTAAACAGTTGAATAGAGACGCTTTCTCTGATATTGTAGGAAGGACTAAAGCTGCTGCTGAACGAATGAAGATTGCACAACAGGCTGCTCTTATGGATCCATGTCTGACTACGTATGATGAGGAAGCAAAATGTACAAAGGAGTGGCAATTCTTTCAAAAAGCTGAGGAGAGCTTCTTTCGGCAGAAGTATTGTTTCAATTGGCTTACACTTGGGGATTCCAATTCGAGATTCTTTCACACATCAGTTAAAGTTCGCCAAGCACGAAAGCATATTCGAATGCTTGTCTTGGAGTCAGGGGAGGAAGTTACTAAGGTTGAGGAGATTTCACAAGCTGCGATAGACTATTATCAAAGAATGTTTGGTACAGTAAATCCAGCCGTATGCCCAGACCCAGTCTTTCTTGCTGAACAGATAAGAAGAAAATTGACTAAGGAGGAATGCAATTTTTTATGTCATCCTGTGACAGCCGAGGAGATTAGGGTGGCTCTATTTGAGATGGATCCTACAAAAAGTCCAGGCCCTGATGGCTGAACTGTAAGTTTCTACCAGAAAAGCTAGCTATTCATTGGCAAGTTAGTGGTGGCAGGGGTGCATGAATTCTTTTCTATTGGTCAACTGCCTAAAGGTATGAATGCAACTTCAATTACCTTTTGTCCTAAGTATCCCAATGCTATGACCTTGAACTATTATAGGCCTATTGCTTGCATAAACGTGCTCTACAAGATTGTGTCTAAAGTTATTTCAAATCGAATTAAGGAAGTGTTGCCTAGTGTAGTGAGTCTCAATCAATCGCCATTCATTAAAGGAAGAAGCAGATTGGAAAATGTAACACCACGAATTTTGGGTTCAGGTTCGACCCAAATACGTGAACGGTTGGATTAACGGTTACGTACTAAGGATTGCAACCGCGGATTAAGAGAAATAATTATTTATTTATATATATATATATAAAGTGGCGGGCCAAAGAGGGCCCTCGTCCCTCATTATTTTTGGTTTTCAATCACCACTCCCCCACGCCCAAGAATCCATCCGGATTCAATAAATATAGAACCCTAAAAGCCAAAGGGAAAGGCCGCCACTCAAAGACCCAGCTCTCCTTCCATAGCGGCGGTGAGGGTTTCCAAGAGAGACTAAGCTACGCACATCAAGGGAGATCGTCGACGGCGTGGTGATTGCTCAAGACATATCGCCGGACAGTGAGATCAAGTGAAGGTGTAATGGTGGACGATGCGGCGAATGGAGAGTTGGATTGGTCGATGACGAATACAGGCCGTCACAATAAGAACATCGTTTCCATGGAGTTAGCGGTGAGGTGACTGGTTCAGCCTTCAGCGGACAGGTTCACATGTACTTCTACTTTTGGTGGTGGTCGATAATTGGACGTAGGGATTTCGATGCGATGCTGAGGTTCTTGAAGAAAGGCCGACCAACTCGAAGAAGGTTTTGGAGATCACAGCTGCATCGATCATACTGGAGCGAATGGATTGCAAGGTGGCTTAATTAGAAGGGGGATTGACGCATGGACACGTACTAAAATGGAAGTGAAGTGTAAAGCTTGGACGAAAGAGCTGCTTAGAGAAGCGGTGGAGATGGGACAAAGAGGGGATTGCGTGCTATGGATCAAAGGCGGATACAGGTAAGGGATTAATCTAGCTTTGGTCGTTTTTGTTCCTTTAGGATGGTTTGATTGGTGGGGAATTTTGGTCTGCATGCATGGCATTATGTGGGGTTATGGGTTTTTGGTTAGGGATAGAAACAAAGTGAGTACCAATTTTGCTTCACGTGAACTGGGTTGCATTCTTGGAAAATTGGAAGGGTTGGCTGTGAGTGATTGGCGGCCATTCCAAGGAAACGAGGAGTACAAAATCACATTACTAGAGATGGAGGCTTGGCATCAGGGCAGTCCACGATATAGGTTCGTCAACTAATTACGAAGGTGAGTGTAAAGGGGGTAAATTCTACGCCTTACGTATTCTTTTAAGTATTATGATTTTAAGTATTTTAGCGAAGTGGTTATCGTTGCTTGGTTATGTGTATGATTGATTATTTGTGCTTTGCTTGAGTTATGGTTTGAGATGATTTGGTGCTATTTGAGGTGATTTTGTTTGAGCTATGCTTGAAGTGAATGTTTATTAATTACTTTGAAATTTTTACGAGTATAAGTTATTATTAAAGAGTAAGAAACAAGTTCTTTTTAAGAAGTAACTCACCTTCAAGAAGGTGAAGTCGTTTTAAGTGTTTTTAGTCACTAGCGCCAGTCCGTTGCCATTTGAGATTTCCAGATAGAGCAGCAGTTATGCTCTTGAGACTTTTAAGATGGGCAGCAGTTATGCCCTTGAGAATCGTGGTGAAGAGCCACCACGATAAGTTTAAGATGTTAGGGGGATGAATCGTTACGACTTCCCTAACTAAGTTTAAGTTTAAGGAAAGCCTTGATGGCTTCTCATACGTATGAGTTGGCAACCGGACTAGCTAGTGAGGGATCCCAGTGTCAGTCAAGTATTTAAGTCAAGCTTTGAGATTTAAGAGTGGAGTAACAGTAACTCCTATACAGTTTTAAGAGTTAAGCTTTTCAATAGTGGAAGTACAAAACAACTTCCACACAGTTAAGTAAAGTGATCAAGTTTTAATAAGAGGTTAAACGTAAGGGCGTAGACTGACCCCAACTCACTCACCAGGTCTTAGTAAGGGAATGAGCGAGAACCAGATCGGTAGCAGCTAGCTAGAGAAGCAGTTAGGGAGCAGCGAGTTCGAGAGAGAAAGTTCGTGAGCATCCAGCTAGAGAAGAGCAGTATAAGCGTCACGGAGGATGCTTAGTCAAGTTTTTCAGCATCAACAACTTCAGATTTTATTAGTTAATTTCATTTATGATTATGAGTACAGACTGGAGATTATTTTGAGATCAGATTGAGATTTAAAATTTGAGTTTAATTTGCCCACGTGTTAGGGCTTTGCTTTGAACCACAAGTGTGTGTTTTCAGTATTTTATTTATTAAAACTGTTCCCAGTTGCAATTTAAGATTCGAGTATTTTATTTATCAATGGAATTTTAGTAAAGGTAGTACCCGGCCGGGTTAGGGTGTTTCAGAAAATATTCTGATGGCACAGGAAGTAGTACAGAATTACAATAAAAAAGGTATTGCATCTAGAAGTGAGATCAAAGTAGATTTGCAGAAGGCTATTGATTCTGTGAACTGGGACTTCCTTTTTCTGGTTATGAAGTTGATGAATTTTCCAGAGTGATTCATTAGTTGGATAAAGGTTTGTTTTGGTTCTACCACGTTTAGTATATCAATTCATGGGAGTCTGTTAGGTAACTTTTGGGCAAGACAAGGGGTACGACAGGGGGATCTTCTATACCCATATCTTTTTACCATTGTAATGGAAATTCTTTCTGCTATGCTTGATAACACTGCGAGAAAAGGATGTATGCCCTATCAACCTCAGTGTAAATCAGTAGGTTTAACGCACATTTGCTTTGCGGATGACTTACCTATTTTCACTGAGGGGTCGGTTTATGCACTAGAATGTGTCAAAAGAATATTGGATAAGTTTGCACACATGTCAGGGTTGGTTTCTAATAGACAAAAAATCGAAGTTTTCTTTGGAGGTGAATCTGAGGCAGATAAAGAAGTTGCAGTGAGGTCTACTGGGTTTAAGGAAGGCTCTTTACCAGTTAGATATCTAGGGCTTCCATTGTTTTCGGGAAAGCTGACTAGTAATGATTGTGAAATCCTTGTTGACAAGATTACCAGCAGGCTTCGACCATGGAAAGCATCTAAGCAGACTTATGCTGGTAGGGTTCAGTTGGTAGCATCAGTTGTTTACAGCTTAATGCAATTCTGGATGGCTATATTCGTACTTCCCAAGCAGATTATTGTCAGAATCTAGAAAGTTTGCTCTGACTTTCTGTGGCATGGTGATGGAACTGGAAAAGCTAATACCCTGTTTAGTAACCATTCCCATTCCCATTTTGTCATTCCATTTAATTTATTTAGGAATGAAAACAGGAAAAAGTGTTTACTTTCCATTCCCATTCCATCAGCTTTTATTTGAGGAATCAAATAGTGCTGAATGGTAGCAATTTTTGGGAAACCCATTATTTTGGTTTCAGGAATGGGAAACGGACGGGTTCCTCAAATTTCTCATTAATGAGACCCCCTGATCGAATCCCCCAACCCACCAAAACTCCAATTTATTACCCCCATCTACCATTTTTACAAACAAACCAGGACAAAGACCCCCAAACCCTATTTCCCCTTCTTCTCATCCCCGCCGCCTCACTTCTCCTCCACTCTCCCCTGTCTTGCCTCTCATCTCCTCCACTCATCCCAAACCCAACTCTGAAACCCTTCTTCTCATCCCCGCCGCCTCAATTCCGTTGTCGCCGAGGACTCCCCTGCCGCCGTCAGCCCTGATCATCGTCGACTCGCCGAGGCGTCCCCTGCTCGGCGTCCCCTGCTCGGCTTCAGCCCTCGTTGCAGTCAGCCCCCGCTCGCCGTCGACCCGCTCGCTGCCTTGTCCCGGCCTTCAACCCCCGCTCGCTGCCTTGTCCCGGCCTTCAACCCCCGCTCGCCGTCGACGACCAGGCACTCCCCGCTCGAAGTAACTCAACCCGACGTTTATCTCCCTTTTCGTCTCCTCGTCCTCGTCCTAGTTAATATCCCCTGCAACTGGTGAGTTGATTTCTTCTTGTCCTCGTCCTAGATTAATAAATAGCTGACTAAATTAAATAGGATTGGCAGACTGTTGAACATAGTTGATTTCTTCTTCCTTTTGCCCACATGCGAACCCCTAACCCATACATGAGCTCTTCACTGTCGAATCTATGTTGGTGTGTTGGTGATTGATTGCTTATTATTGTTGTATATCTAATGACCAACTTGTGTAACTAGTTCTTATCATGGACAATAATGAGGCTCAAAACAAGAATGATTATGTAACGGCGGGAGGAAAGGAAGTATGGCCTAATGAGGTCAAGTTCTATCTTATTGATTTGATGGTGGAAGAAGTGAAGAATGGAAATAGAACTACCACTACTTTTTCAAAGGTAGGCTGGGCAAACATAATAAATGGATTGACAAACAAGTTTAGGAAGGTTTGGAATGAAGATCAGTTAAAGAACAAGTTTAATCAGATGAGGAGAAAGCATAGGGTTTTCACGACAATCATTAGTGAGACTGGAGTTAGTTACACTACGGCAACTGGGAAGATTGATGGCTCTGATGAACGTTGGGAAAGATGGTTAAGGGTAAGTTGAATCCTTGTCTATTGTTCAATTTTGTATGTTTATTATTTGAAACTTTGAATTGATTCAAATATTTTTTTTTTTGGTAGTTGGATAAGGTGGTTGGAAGCATTAAGAAGTATGGTTGTCCGGAGTATCCAAAACTTTGCATTGTCTATGGGGATACTACCGCTACTGGAAATGATGCACTACCTTCTACACAGGAGATAATAGACAGCAGCAGTGAGGATCAGAGCAAGGAGAAAGTTTCTGAAAGTATTATGGATAAGACAACTGAACTTGCAAAGGAATTGAAAGGCAAAGCAAAGTCTAAAGGGAAAAAGAGAAAAACAAGCAAATCAACCTTCTCTTCTACCATAGAGAAGGCAATAGTTGACATGGCTGAGATGGCAAAAATGAAGAATGAGATGCGTATGGCTTCTCAAGCCAACTCTTCTATTAGAGGTCCAGTGAATGAAGTAACTTCACCGGATAAGGATTTAGATATCATGACTGAATGCATGAAGGTTTTGGATGATTTGAATGTGGATGCTGATATTTTGTGAAGGCTTTAGA